CACCGCTTCGACACGGGCTCCCCCTCTCAAACAGACACCTAATGGTGATGCAAGCGATATGTAGCCACAAGGGAGCTACTGGAATCCGGATGCATGCTCCCATCTGATTGTGACTCCAAAGGCCACTGCCACGAACTTTGCGCGGCCAATCACGCCTTGCCCTCCTCGACGCGGCATCATACGGTCAAGCAGACGCTTGCTGAGAAGCTTCCTTGCTTTGGGAATAACCTCTGGGCGGCCAAGTCACCACTGCAGTCGTCAACGGCCTATCAAGCTGCATCGTGGTGGGATGGCTAGCGTACAGCCCCCTGGCTATGCGGCACCGAAGCCTGTTTCCCCCACAATTCACGACGCCCCGGCTTCTCCCCAGCACTCCCGCCAGGGATCCACGAGTCGAACCAGTGTGCAGCCGTCAGGGATGTTAACGGCTGCCTTGAGGACGTTGATAACGGCAGCTGCGTCCTTCTCATTCAACCAGCTACTATGTGTTAGGTATGTTTCATCAACCAACACCTGATCACAGAGCTGCAGCTATAGCGCGGTGGCAAACATCTGCGGCTGCTTCCAGCTCGAGGAGTTAAGGTCACTGAAAGTCAGCGCAGCAGAAGACCCCGCTGGGCGAGGAGCTTCCTGATGCTCGATACAACCCTGCTACGCTCACTTGGAAAAAGTTCCGAAAGCTGAACATCTCGCCGTTTGACTTGATACTGTGGTTGCCATTGCACCCTGTACCCCGATCGTTCCGATGCCTGGTCGATACAACATGATGGAGGACGTTTCCTACAGCTCCTCGGTTCCTTTACTTGCAATATTGACATTCAGCACAAGCACAAGGTCGAATGCTGCTCATGCACACAGTAGGATTCCACGGGATATGAATCGTGAAATGTTGAAAGAGGGGCAACTGGCCAGAAGCGATTGGAAGCGCCCCGCAGGATGGCTCTCTATCGCGGCACAGACTCCATGAAAGGGGGGCGTACGAGTGGTCGGACATGCAAGACAGAATGGCACCACGCCCTCTGCCGGGACATTGAACGGACGAGACCTTGAGGAATTGCTACATCTAGTACGTGTATGTATGCAACCACAAGGCCTACACCCTCCCCGCACAGCTTCTACTGCAGCAAGATGCCTGCTCGACCCGCCTCTTCCTTGCCCCACTGCCAGCACTGAAGAACCTCGTCGAGTGAGAGGGGGCATTGCAGGATTTTTGGACAGGCTGGGAAGCTTCACCTGCGGAGCGAAGGTTACTCGTGCTGACACGATTCGCTAATATGGCATACGAGAGGTAGCAGCAGTACGAGACATCATGGCCCAACACCATCATGTCAACACCATGGCTCCAAAGGGCTGGCGCACCTCCAAGGTACAGCCACCTTGTCATGTGAGCTAATTCAGGACCCGATACTATGTCGCTTCGTCAAACAGAGAGGCAAATATACGGAATGCGGCCAGCTGTAATGCATATTCCATCGTCTGCCGCACATCCCTGGCTCTCTCATCTTGATGCCGCTGGGCCGTTGACTGCCTAGGTACTACTGGTATATACTACGATATACACTTTAGCTTATATTGACCAAGCACTTCGTACAGTAAAGACGGCCCCGAAGCTGTTGCGCTTTGCCAGCACACAATTTTCCTTCATCACATTTCACATCTCGGTTCTGGTTTTCCAGATCCCTGTTGTTCAAGGACAGAGATGGGGCCGGTTGACAAGTGATATCGGTTGCATGAGGTCCAATGGCACCATTCAGACATGTCACTGTGAATTTACCTTTTGTCACAAGAGTGTCTACCAAGGTACGAGCGAGGAAGCTACGGCAACTGTGTGTGCGCCGCCCGGCTCGGCCGCGATCCCCGTTCCGTACCTACCTTCATGAAAAGAGCTGGCTGGAATGGAGCAGAGTGACGGTCCATTGCTAGCTGACTCGGCGATAGACTATCCCCTTCCCCTTGGGCCTGCGTTGGCTCTGTCAATATCAATTGGCTTGGGAGCACATCACGCATTGTCATCTCACGAGGTATCTACCTATTCACGGAATAGGTAGGTAAGTAGGTAGTATCCCGGCCTCGGCGACGGAACAAAAGCTTTCAAGGTCCGCTCTTCCCTGCATGTCCTCTGTCCACGAGACGAGGCAGCTGCAAACATCCACGGAGGCTTGAATGGAATGTAACCTCCTGGATGTAGATGTGTTACACAAGAGTGCATTAGCCCTTGCATTGTGCAGCCGGTCAGAGCAGAAATATATTAACTGCGGTGTGAAGTTCCCGGGCTATTTGCAAATCCGGGGTGTTTTGTTGCCTATCTTGCTTCATGGTTGTTGCAAGCTAGGCACGGCACCTTATCTCGAACCCCGGCTGCGCTGCATGTTGTGCAGAACGAACATTTGCTCCGCCAGACAGATAACCACCCAGCTAGGGGAGAAGAAGGGGGGAAAGGGATTACTACAAAAGAATTACTACGCTGCAAGGGTGGCTTTTCTTTTGCTTGTTATCTCCCTCCTGCTTGATCCGTGCTTGAGGGAGGGAGGGATACGACCAAAGGAGAGGTAGCAGGAGCAAAACCTGTTTTTGATGCCCTAGGAATCAGTCTCGATACTTGCTCAACTTTCATGTCTCCTCACGGCGAACCCCGTGTCAAATTTTCAAAATTGCTATACCGGTAATATGTGATACTCCTTGGACTTGGTATGCAAGATTTGTACTTATACCTTCACACCGGGGAGCTCCCGGGTGTGGGAAGCTTGGGGAGAGGTCAATTTCTATTGATGAAAGCGCAGAACCAAGCTTTTTTGAGTTCTTTGCCTTTTCCCCTTTCTTTCATCGTGTCGTGGCAGATTGGCAGAGCCTTTGCTCCTCTCCTCTTTCTGCGTCATGACCTTGAAGGGTCGCATAAGCCTTGTAATTGCTGCGTAGGTTTTCGAACTCCAATATGTATCTTGGAAGAGGCTGAAAGATCTGCCTCTTGCGTGTTCATCTATGGATATGCTGGGAGCGTTATATGCAGTGGTCTTCCATGGCACAAGGAGAGGGGGGGGCAGCTCTTTGAGTGCCGCAGACGAGGTACAGGTACTGATTAGTATTCGGACCTCACAGTCGTATGGTAAGGTAAGGTAAGGTAGGTAAGGTAAGGTATGGTGCAATAGCAGCTTCATCACCAGACAAATTCGACGAATGGGCTTCCTGAGGTGTGATGTGCTCAAGCCCAGAATCGCGCCTCACTATCCTCGGATAAGGAAGAGGGCTTGAACGAGGTTCGCTTCTCTTTTTTTTTCGGCCCCTAACTCGCTTCTTCTGCTGTCTCCTATCCCGTCATTGAGCAATTGATCTTGTACAAGTCGCGGCGTAAAATCTCACGCCAACGTGCTCTCCCTACCGAGCTCTCAATTGCTTGCAGAAAGTAAGATCGAACTAGAATCAACAGAAACGGTGGCGAAAAAAAGGACGTTGTTTTGCTTTCGGTGGGGGTACATGCGAGAGAAATGGCTGGCATGCGAGAGAGGAGAGAGAGAGAGACAATGAGGAGATAACTGTGCGGGTGAGTGGCTTGTGGAGTGGCTTGAGATTACGATGCGAAACGGACGATGGATGGATGGCTTGGGTTGCTGTGAAGCTGAACGTCTGTAACAGTGCTGCTGCTTTTCCATTCTTGATATCAATGGCTTTTTCATTTGCGTTTTCTGTGATGCGGTCGTTGAAATGGAGGGGGAAAAAGTCGAATGATGTCGTGAGTTGAGGTCGGGTGGTTCATATCTTTGCCGGGCAATATCAAGTCATGCAAGAGGTGAGTATTGCTCATCCATACCTTGAGTCCATGAGACAATGCACATGGATTGGTAAGTATGAATACATGGGCAGGTATCTGGCGCTGGCCCTTGGCTTTTTTTGGCTTGCTCTTTTTTTAGCATCACATCTTCAAAACGAGCAATTGCTGGGTCAGAAGTTATTCTCTCTTTTTTTTTACATACATGGCTGAAGTAAGTCCGCCTCCATGCCCTGAACGATGACCGCGACAGCCGAAACCATTCTCGTCCGGGTAACCCAAGCTCCTGTTGCTCGTCCCCAAGAACAGAAAATCATCACGCCATGCATAGCCCTGATAAGTGGGATCTCATGATATCTGACTTAAAAAAAAAAAAAAAAAGAGCGGTGCCTTGATACATTCAGCTCCTAGTATATACCTACGATATTACAATTTGTCGGTGTAGATGATGCGGGATGCCAGACTCCTGTCCTGTCAGTCTCTTGTCCACCAAACCCCCCCTTAGCGTACCTTGACGGGTAGACTCATGTGAAATCGCAGTTCAAGCATATTATGCCATTGAGTAATCGCCAAGTTATGCTTTCCGCTGCATCCATCAAAGGAGAGAAAAAAAAGAAGACAGAGCTTTTTGCTAGCTTTTGGAGCTTCCGAATGCAATGCGCTTCGCCATAGCGTGAGAAAAAAGAGGCACTGTTTCTCGACCAAACATGCAGGGCGCGAAGAGGACTTGCATTATCATGGTTTCGACTGGCACATGGAGGAGGACAAAAAAAAAAAAATAACTGGAACCAGCCAGCTTATCTTGGGGGAATGAAAAAACTTCAGATGCAAGAAAAAAACCGGAGACGGCGCTGGTTTCTCAGACTTTGTTACGGCAGTCCGGCTTCAACGCCTCCTTTTGTCGTCATGGCGGCGCCCACCAACAAGCCGTCCTCCTTGGCAAGATAAGGTTCATATCCGCGTCTCTCCCCCCCTCCTTTGTTCTCATCCTCTTTTGCGGCTGCCGATCTGTAGACCACAGGTACCTCGCTCCGTGCGGGCATCGACGTGAGCCCTGTATCGAGTACGAGTACGAGGGTACGTCGTCGTCGTCGTCGTCTTCTTCTTCTTCCTCTCGTTGCAGCCTAAGCAGTGTATGAGGCGTTTTGCACCCTTGCGTACTGTAGGGCCGGTTGCGTTCCAGAGACCCGACACTCTGGAAACGGTGGTGTTTTTCAAGGGGGAATAATAATCGGTCCTAGGATCGCGGAGCAAAGGCGACTTCTGACGGGAGACGGAAGCTCGCGCAAAACATTCGCTTCGCGGGAGCCACGTCCCTGACCTCGTGGATGAGCACCTGGCCGTCCTTTTCCGCGTCACCCGGCGTGAGAAGCACCCCAATCTCCTTGTAGATGCGCTGGCAGATGTCGTCCAGGGGAGTCGCGTCGTCCGCCTTGACGGCGAAGCAATGGACGTGGATGAGCGGGAGCTTCGCCTCGGTGTGGGGGGCGAAAAGCTTCTCGTGGCCCTCGTACAGACCGCGGAAGTTGTGCAGGAACTCAATTGCAGAGGCAGGAAGGTTCATCACAAAGTGTGAGACCGTGGGAGGGACGGGGATCCGGATGGGTTCCGGACGGGGGCCTGGGGCGTTCCTTGATGCTTTCTGAGGGATGACGGCGCAGTCTCCCCGGCGGGACGCTTCCAGAACCAGGTCGGTGCCTTTCTTGATGAAGTCATGTCCGTCGTAGTTGAAGGGTTTGACAAATTCCGAGACCTGCATCTTTACGTTAGTCCGGTGAACGATGGTGGATGAGAGAGGGGGAAAGAGTCTTTGCTTACCTTGTTCCGCTTGATCACGTCTGTAAGGTACTTGTAACTCTCGGGGTTCTTGTCGTTTGCCCAGACAAAGACTCCCTTCTTGCCCGCAGGAGCGGCAAACGGCCCAATGCCAGCCATGACATCGACAACGACCTCGCCAGGCTTGAACAAGCTGACGATCCGCTGGTGCTCTGTGCCGAGCTTCGTATTCCAGTAAACTTTTGAGTAATCGAATTTGAATGTGCATCCGGCCTCGCTGACTTCGACGAGCATGTCGTCGGGCCCGGCCAAGACCTCGTAGCTGAAGGTTCGGTACTCGCTCTCTGTGCCGACGTTGTCGACCTTGTTGATGACGGTGCGGATGGTGGGGTTCTTGTCCATTATGACCTGAGCAATGATGTGCTTGTAGGGGAGGTATTGGCCCCGGATGTTGAGATGAGCTTTCAAGAGGTGAGCTTGTTTGGACAGGTTATACCAGGATGAAGGGGATGACTCACCAACATGACCAGCGGTGTTGAAGCCAACGGGAATCTCTCCGTGTAATTCTTCTGGCAGAATTGACCTCATGACATCGACTGTTTACACGAGTTAGAACCCATCTTCGTATTACATGCCAGGACGATGTCAAGCATCTCATACGGTAACTCCATAGGTCGTAGCCAATGTGCACATCATAAGGCACAATTTTCAGGTCCCCCAGCTTCGATGCCTCCTGCAGCACGGGGCTCCATGTCTCCGGTACTTGAAAAATATGAGTTAGCATTCGATCTCTCATGATATTGGGAGGAGAAAAGGTCATGTCAACGTGGGAATGTAAACGTACCGTCAGGCTTGATATGCGGCTTCAACACAAGACACTTTTTCCCCTGCGCCGCAAGAGCAGGATCTGGATCCGCAGCACAGACGTCAAACCGATCCAGTGAGAACACTTCCTTGGTCTTCTCAAGCTGCTTGCGGTACTTTGAAATGAGCCTGTTGTCTCGTATTGAAGCCGCAGCCGTCGGCAGCGTTCTGGAAAAGAGCGATCTGTCGAGCACTTTGGCAGCTCTGGCAGCGGCAGGGGCTCGGAAGAGATTCATTAGAACTTGCTTATCCGAATCCTTTCAGAATTCCATATGAGACTCATGATTAGTGATTCGTCTTTGTATGATATGGGTATATCAAGGTGTTTGACCACTTACCTCCATGTCGACTAGAAAAGTGCCCTTTCTTTACAGGTTACTCACTCGTGAGACCGGGGCTTGCAAGGCTGCGGTGGTTGAAATTTTGCGTGCGGAGTACGTACATCGTAGCACCGCCACATCTCTGATTTTCCCAGGGTCCGAGTGGGGCTGGATCTGTGGCGCGAGCTTTGAGTGACAAGGCTGAGATGGTGGTGATGTCACAAATCTATGCTCTCAAAGGCATGTGAACGCGCTTCGATCTTCCACAACTTCAATTCTTCATTTACTATACATGTTTTGTAATGTTGAACTTGACAAGAAGTGCGCGATATTGTCTGAAGAGAATGTCACAGAAGCGAACAATTGACGCCTTCTTTGGACCTCCTCCAAAGCGGTCCCGTAGCGATGTCACCAAAGGAACAATCATTCCGGAAGAGCAAGATGAAACAGTGAGATTCTGCATACCAGACAATATCCTCCCTCACCTCGCTGACAAGCATCCAGATTCTCAAAACTCACCATCCGAATTACCCATTCCCAATTGCCGAACTTCCTGCATCTATAAGCAAAGAGCTGTCATCTCTACCAGCTCGGCCTCCTCGGACCGTCAACAATGAGCCAGACCTAGATCTCCTCTACTTCGAGCCTTATGTGCCGGATTATCTAGCACGCCAGCTTTTCCAGTTCTTACGAGCAGAGTTACCGTTTTACAAGGTAGAGTATCAAATAAGACGAGGGGGTACTGCCACGCAGATACGCACGCCAAGGCAAGTCTTTGTGTACCAACTCAGCGCTGGGCAGGTCATTAGCTAATATGCGGATGCAAAAGATGGACTACAGTCTTTGGTCTTGACGAAACATCAAAGTTCGACAAAGAAGGCGTCGTGGTAGACGCAATGACAGGAGTCAAGGTTTCGTCAGATAGACGTTACGACAAATACCCCCCTCGACCCATCCCTAAATGCCTCGACGACCTTCGCCAGTCCACCGAGGCGGCTACGGGGTGCAAGTTCAACTTTTGCCTGGTCAACTACTACTCTTCGGGTGCGGATAGCATCTCATTCCACAGCGATGACGAAAGGTTCCTTGGCCCGGATCCTGCCATTGCCTCCTTTTCGTTGGGCGCGCGACGGGACTTTCTCATGAAGCATAAACCAGTTGCGGCAGGCCAAGGCGAAACCCCAGCTTCCAAGTCGCCTACGCTGAAGTTCCCCCTGAATAGCGGCGACATGATACTTATGCGAGGCAAGACACAGTCCAACTGGCTTCATTCCATACCGAAGCGCACGGGGAAGAACCAAGAAGACGGGGGCAGAATCAACATTACGTTCAGAAGGGCCATGGTCAAAGGGGGGACGGAAAATTATTACAACTATAATGTCGGGAGTGGTCCCGTGTATCGCTGGGACAAAGCGAGCGGCGCTATGATGCCCTGGAAGCCCTCATCAAAAAGTTAGGAATAATAATACATCGATCTATATGAAAAAAAAAAAATGGACATCTGCAAAGGCTTTTCTTCGAGTTGATCTATTTCCCACGACGCATCTGAGCAGAAGCAAAATTCCTCAGGGCTCGCAGGAACACCTGGTAGCCAAACGTCTCGTTGTCTTGCAGGCAGAAGATCTCAGTCAATCGGATTTGCCATGGCGGATAGCCCGACAGCTCGACGTAAGGGGTGAAGAGGATCAACAGGTCCGGCTCCGGGAGGATGCCCTCTGAGAGTTCGGCATCAATCAGCTCCTGAGAGATGTCTCGCGGGGAAATCTTGCCCCGTTGTGACATGTCCGCAAGGGTTCGCGTGAGGTCGACGATGGATTCTCGGCCGTCCTGGTAAGAGATGAGGTGGAGCTGTAGATGGCCGTGCTTGCTCTCCTCAAGCATTCGCGTGGGGAAGTCGTCTCTGTGGGGAGAGGTGACTGACAGGGTCGGGTGTTCAGCACCAAAATAAAAGGTGAACTTTTGTATGACGGCTTCGTAGACTCGAGGCATGTGCTTCTTCAAGACTCCTGTTATAGCCATGTTAGCTTCTGATGAGACTGAAACATGTTCGCTTCCAGAGATGCGCTTACCTGACTTTTCGTAGATGGAGAGCATGGGAATCTCTGCGCAGGCACACCACGTTGCAAGCTCGGCCGTCTCCTCAATCAGTCGATCGACATCAGTCTTTGCCCTGTGATCCACCTCGGTCTTCAGAATGGCACTGAGATGCTTGGGTTTCTTGTTCAGCCCCTCAACGTCCCGTCGGATGTACTGCGGCGTGGCGTGGTGATAGTAGAGTATCGAGGAGATCTGATAAGCCACGCCGTGCCAGGTCTGCCGCGACTTGATGTATAGGGAGAAGATGCCGTGCATGAGGGCGAAGACGAAGACGAAGACTTGGTTCTTCAGGAAGCGTCTAACTCCAAGCCGGGATCTGCGCTGAACGTGTGCGCCTTTGCTGTTCATGCCGGCCGGTCCATCGTTTGGGGCGGGAAGCGAAGCCTGCGCGCGGTGTCAGAGTTGCTGCCGTTGAGCTGGGACTGCCGCAAGATGCCCGTACCTTGAAGATGGCCTGCCTCTGGGCCTCGGTAAGAAGGGCATGGCCATGTCTTTCGTCGGCTCTGTAGGCCTTTGTATCCCGAACAGAGATGGGCATGCTGAATCTCGGCAGCCTCGAAAGACTGACTGACTGAGTGAAAGCAGTGGAGTAGGTATTGGGAGCGGAATGCCGTCAATGTAACGATTAGGTGGTTCGCCGCAGGTATGTAGGATGTAAAGTAGTAGTAGTACCTAGTAGGTAGGTAGGTAGGTAGGTCGGTCGGTAGATGTTGGCCTGAAGGAAGACGACACAAAGCTGCGCACCGGTGAATTGTGGCAGCTGCCGCTATGGCGAATCGAGGCGGGAGACTGACGACGTGTCCATGCAGCAGAAGTGCTGGGGAGGGAGAAGAAGGTTGGGGGAAGAGAGGCGAAGCAGATGAGCTGCTGCTTGTCTCTGGGCGAAACAAATTAGCACCAAGCGCCCAGTAATAATAGCTTGTAAGCCTGATTTTGGCGGGATTTGCATGTGTCCTCTCTCCTGAGTGGCCGCACCAGCCACGACATTGTGTGGCGCAGTCGGCAGGTCTGTTGGAAAGCAGTGGCGTGGCGGGGCTTCAGGCATCATACCTAGTAGTACCTTAGCCTCTAGACAGCTTCTAGTACTGTACATACAGCAACTGGAGGTCACGTCTTAGGGGACAATTCAGCAGTGAAGCAACTGACGGGCGTTTTTCGCGACGACGCAACGCGGCACCTCTGGCCTCGGCGGGATTGTCGCACGACTGAGCGCGGCAGATGCACCTCGACTGACTGAAGCATCACGGCACATCGCATCTCCCTCGACAGACGACATACATGTAGCCCGCTGATGCGCCTTCGCCCTGCCGCTTGCCAACCATGGACCGGTCCAGCGGGCCCAAGAGCATCTTCCCCAAGGGCCCCAACTTCACCCTCGAGGACTTTTCCAACAAGGACTTCATAGTCAGGGACTTTGTTGACAGTCTGGCCGAGAGTGCTATGCCCTCTGCCCGTCGCTCGGGACCGTCACAATCCACCACCTTTGACCCGAAGCCGCTGATCAGGAGCTTTGAAAGTATGGCATGCGATGCGACGCCCGGGGCGAGGGGGCCGGAACAGAAATGGGAGCGTTGGCTGACTGAAAGCTTTCGCAGATGCCTTGTCTCAGCTTGCCGTCCTTGGGGATGAGCTTCAGGAGAAGGAGTCCGAACTCCTTTCCCAAGTGCGCCGGGCCGAAATACAGCACGACCAGACCCTCGATACCCTCGGCCGGAAACTCGACGAAACCATGGAATCGTTCGAAGCTCTGGACATATCATTAAACCCAAACGGCACCAACGGCGCGGACGGAAAGGCCGATAGTGGAGGCAACATTGCCGTGCAGATTGGAGAGAAGCTGGACGACCTGGACAAGAAGAGGAGGAGAGCACAGGACACCATCTTCCTGATCAATTGCTGGACAGAGCTCAGCGAGACCGGCCTGCTGTCGTCGCTGGAAGACATTAGGCGGCAAGGCGGCGCAGAGAACAAGGTGCGGTGCGCCGTCATTGCCCGTCAACTCATGAGAATCAGCCAACAGCTCGACCCGCTGGCCTGGGGAACACGCAACGGCAACAGGGCCAGCATAGCCAGTTTCGCCACGTTGACCAACAGGGCGCGGAACACGCGAGAGATCCTCGAAAAGTTTTGCGAGACGCTGGAGCAGGATCTGCTGCAGCAGTTCAACAACAGCTACAGGCGGCAGAACTTCAACGACATGAGGGAGTGCGCAAAGGTGCTGTACGATTTCAACGGAGGCGCCAGTGTCATTGCCATCTTTGTCAACCAGCATCAGTTCTTCATCGACAGGGATCAGCTGATGAGCGACGAGATGGCAGCCGACGGGGAGATGTGGGAGGCTTTGGCCGACCCGGATGCGGAGCCGCCTGGGATCGAGCCCAGTCTGCAATCGCTCATTGACGAGGTCAAGATTGTGATGCAAGAGGAGTCGTTTATCATCAAGCGGGCGTTCCCGTACTACGAGACGGTGCTGATCAAGTTCATTCAGCGCGTGTTCCAGCAGTCTATACAGCAGCGGCTAGAAAAGGTCCTCGACAAGGCCGAATCGGTCTCTACTCTGGCCTTTCTCCGGTCATTACACTCGTCAAGAAGCTACATCGGCTCCCTGGTGGAAGACTTGAAGATGCACGGCTTGACTGAACACCCAGAACCTTGCTCGGCGCAGATTGCACAGGCCTTGGACCAGCAGCTGGACGAGCTCTTCGTCCCCTTCCTCGTTGGAAGTGTCTATATCGACCGGGAAAAGAAGAGCCTGGAGGAGTTGTACGGCTCTCTGCTCTTCAAGTTTAACCTCTTCCACTCGAGGCGGAAGAAGGCGCCGTCTAGCTTCATGGCGTCCCTGGCCCAGCAGGGCACACAGCTCATACAGTCTGCCAAGGACGCCTATCTTGAGCGTCTCGAGTCGTCCGACCTATCGGCCACCCAAAAGGCGATGATGCTGCGGGTTGCCGGCCTCCAGGACAAAGACGATGACAACGAGATTGAAGTATCCGATGAGGACGGGATACTCTCAGTGGCCAACGCCAAGAGGATGCTGAAATGGCTGGCGGAGAGTGTTCAGAGAGTGCTCGAGTTGGGCTCTCAGCTGGATACGCCAAAGGACGTCAACATACTGCTCAACCTGCTGCTCACAAACATGGGCCAGGTCTACATTGAGACTGCGCTGGACGCAGCACACTATCAAGCCACCCTGCTGGAGAACTCCAAGACGGAGCCGGACATGTCATATCTACCGCCGATCCGGGCTGGTGTGACGATATCGGGCCTCATGGAACGCTTCATCAGCACGGTGCTCATCCGACTCGCCGAGTCCAACACGACGGTGCGCAAGAGCATGGAGGCGCAGAAGAAGATGGCCATTGACACCATCGAGAAGAAGACCAACGCCATCATGAAGATCTCCATCGACGTCATCGTCAACTGGGTCATCAAGTCGCTGGGCACGCAGAAGAAGCAGGACTTCCGGCCCAAGGACGGCGAGCTGGAGTCGCTGCAGACGGCGACGTGCCTGCACATCTGCACGTTTCTGGCGCGGGCGAGCCAGCAGGCGATGCAGGCCGTCGACGGGCACAACGCGGACAAGTTCTTCAGCGAGCTGGGCCAGGTGCTGCACGCGCAGCTGTTTGAGCACTTCAAGCGCTTCCAGGTCAACGCGACGGGCGGGCTGATGGTGACGCAGGACATTGCAAAGTACGTGGCGACGCTGCGGGCGTGGCCGCTGGCCAAGGACGTCGAGACGGCGATTGAGATGCTTACGGAGATTGGGTCGCTCTTCATCGTCGGGCCGGAGGCGCTGCGGGAGAAGGTCAGGACGCTGGCCCCCGGATCGAGCTCCGTCAGGGGGAAGCTGAGCAAGGCGGATTTCAAGGCGTTTGTGCAGAAGAGGGACGATTCGGGATCTGCGGGCATACAGGGCATTTTGAGCGGTTTATAATCTATATAGGAGGGGTAAAACTAAGTAATAACGTAGATGCTTTATCCTGTGTCTTGTTCTTTTGATCTTCTCTTCTTTCCTTTAATATCCTTTTTTTTTTTCAATGCGTTCTTCAAAGGTTGATAACTGTCTACCTACAAATCTCTCCTCATGCCCCCCTTTTGCCCCGTATGCTCCTCAATCTTTTCATCCAAAAAGTCAATCAGATCCGCCATGTTTGTAAAGTCCACGAAGCTCGCCCTCTCCTTCTTGTTGAGCAGCGCAGTCTTGTCGTCGCCCATGCCCGGCCCGCACATTTCCTGGACGTGGTGCACGACGAGCTTGAGCGGCAGGGGACAGCGGGCGACGTTGCACATGAAGGTCTCGACGGCCTCCCAGGGGCAGCGGGGGTGGCCGGCGAAGAGGGCCGGGTTGGCGAGGAGGCCGCGGGCGGACATGAAGCCGGCGAGGTTCGTGTTGCTGGGCTTTGGCAGGACTTTTGCTGCTTCTGCTGCTGCTGTGTCTGTATCTGTGTCTGTGTCTGAAGTGAATGTGCTTGTGGGATGATTTTCTTCCTTGAGGGTTAGAGTGGCGAGGTCAGGGGGGACGATGGTGGAAGGAGAAGAAGATGATGTGGGAGAAGAGGTTGCTCGTATTGGGAGGGCGGCGAGATCAAAGACGTCGCCGGAGAGGAGGATGGGGAGCGTGCGGGAGTACTTTTCGGTGAGGATCTCGAGGGCTTCGGTGCGGATGGGGGTGGTGGAGGGGGTGTGGCGGGTGCGAGGGTGGATGGTGATCCAGTCGACGAGGCGGTTCTGGGGGTGACCGATGACGGTGTCGAGGAAGTCCATTGTTCGCCTTGGGAAGGGGTCTACTGTTAGCTAATGTATCGTTTTGAAAGAGGCCAAGCCTGGACAATGTATGAGATGCTTCATTCTCTCTCTCTCATGGCGGTGATTCTCAGATCAGTGATGCATCACCATCTCCATCATCAGAGAACTCACCTCAAATCATCGTGAACGCGAATCTTGACGCTCACGCTCCTGCCCCTCGGACTGTCCACATCCTTCTCCAGCCCGACGGCCCATCCATCCCTCGCGAGATGCTGCCTCGTCTCGACGACCATGTCACGCACCAGCTCGCGCTTGTTCATGAGCGCCGCGCCGAGCGTCTCCGCGCAGGCCCACGACTGGGGGCAGCCGCAGTTGAGGTCCACGCCGGAGACGTAGGGCGCGACGAGGGTCGACGCGCGGGCGAGTTCCAGGGGCACGTTTGCGCCGAACTGGACGATGGTTGGGGGTTGGATGCCGGTTGTTGAGATTGTGAAGTCTGTGGTGGTGATTGTGTGAGCTTTCATGTGAGTGAGAGAGTGTGAGAGAGAAAGAGAGAGAGAAGGCGTACCGCTGTCTCGGGCGAATTGATTCCTGTTAAACTCTTTGGCGAGAATCATGGGCGTCCAGCATAGATCAACGCCATACTTGTGTACGGTTTGGCGAAAGGCGAGCTACATGTAGATTCGAGAAAAAACAATCAGCTTTTTTTCAGTCCCTTTTTAAGTAAACTCATATAAGAGAGAGAAAGAGAGGGCAAGGTAGGTATATGACGAATTCTTACCTTGCTGTAGCGCACCATGGGCGCACAGGCATAGAGAAACCGATCCTCCCTCCTCGCCGCATCAAAGATCTTGAGGGGACTGGGGAGATTTGTCCATTAGCATCTCTTCAGTCACATTGCTTACCCTGCAGCGGTTGATGGAGATTTTTCTTAAGACATGCAAGGGAAACTTGATGTGTCTTGATGTCTGATGAGACGGGGGAAAGAAGAGACTTACTGTGAGGGAGGGATGAGTGCGTCTTCGTCTCTGCTGAGTGAGCCCATGATGCTGGTTGATGAAGTTGGGATGATGTTTTGCGTGTCTATAAGTTTTTGATGAGCGGCGATGATGACATGCCGTGGCGTATGAATCAGCTTTGTTTTTTTTTTTTTCTTTCTTTTTTTCTTCTTTTTTCCCCCCCAGCATCTTGGTTCACTGTCAGGCTAGGACTGCAGCCCCACCGCTTGTATCGACGTTTACATGTACCTTGGGCGCTAAAACTGTATGCTGAATCGAGGCCAAAACGATGTCGACGTCTTTGAAACGGACTGAAACAAATCATATCAGCAAGCATTTATTAGATATCTAGTCTCAACAAGGGGTTCCGTTCATCATCCAAATGCTCGATAAGCCAGATTCACATCTGCTATTCACTGCGTATTTATATGGAATGTAAAATCAAGAGTCATGCTCTTGTGTTGAATCCCGTCTCTCTCTCTCTCTCTCTCTATATATATATATATCTCGCCCGGACCAATTGGTATAATAACAGAAAATGAGGCCAGTCGCAGCAGGGACAAAGACATTATCGTTTTGGCTTTTCTCGGCACGCTGCCTCTCCTCAAAAACAAACAAGACAAGGAAACAAGAGGAAATGAAGAACCAACACCGGAGACCAAACCGTTGACACATCGTACATGTCGACGTATACATATAATTTCACACAACTTCGCCCATCATGGAACCCTCCCCCCTCCTCTAGCATCAAATTTAGACGGCAAACGCAACGGCAGCACCAACAACGGCCAGAGCCATGCCGCCGACGGAGCCAAGAGCGGCGGCAGCGTTGGTGGTGGTCGCAGCAGAAGGAGAGCCAGTGGTAGTGGTGCTGCTGCCGCTGGACTGGGTGGCGGCCGAGGCGGACAGGATGCGGCCGCCAAAGGGTCCGCTGCTGGGGGACTGGTTGGAGCTCTCCTTCTCGGCGGCAGACTTGAACATGGCCAGCGTCTTGTCGGCGTTTGCGTTGACGGCGCCGACCATGCCGGCGCTGCAGTGGTTGCCGACGGTCTGGGAGCAGTAGAACCAGATGGGGGTGGTGTCGTTGACCGTGACCTGGAAGACGTTTTTCTGCAGACACGGAGAGAGTCAGTTTGCTCTTTTTGTCGTTCCACCCAGATACGTGTTCCATCAATGGCGGGGGAGACTCACGTTCTCGCCGGACGAGGTAGGGAAGAAGCCCGAGTAGAAGCCGCCCGAGGCCTTGGGCTGGCACGGCTTTGCAAAGTCGGCAGCAACAACGGAGTGGTTAATGGCGTGGTAATGGAACTCTAGGAAAGGCATTGTTAGTTGATGATGACTTGAACAACGGGCAGAACGAGGGTGTGTTGGTGAGGATACCTAGAACGTCGCCCTTGTCCGCCTTGATGTCGTTGGGGGAGAAGCTGAGGCCGCTCTTGCCGACGTCGACGCGGATCGTCTTTGCGCTGGCGACGGCGGAGAGGGCAGCAACGGCGAGAGTTGAGAAGAGCATCCTGGCGGTTGTTTGTTTGTTTGGTTGTGTTTCGAGAAGATTGTTCAAAGGAAGAGTTGGAAAGGGGTGCAGGAGGATGTCTGTTATAGAAGTTGGAGGTGATACTCGGGTGGATTGTGGTTGTCTGGCTTGGGCGATAGATATGTCAAGCTTCAACCACGGAAGCTGAGGGTGTGATGGGCTTATATGCATCCCAACAAAGAACCCTCCCATTCCTCGTCGTCCCAGCAGCATATAGTAAGCGTCTCCCCATCCCAAGGAGGGCCTGAAGCACAGCATAGCGCCCGATGATTGAAACCCAAGTTCGCGCCTCGTCCGTCCAGGTTCCCGAAACGCTTGCCGGGAAATAAACCAGCCTGCGACTTTGGACTCACGCTACGCAGCACATTGCTCCCCTCCCCCTGATGGGTTCCGTTGTTTCCGTGCTAGATCGAGCTTCATCACAACTTTTGAGTACGGGCGAGACTGAACTTTGGGCAAGTCAGGCGGTAACTGGGGGCTTCACGGAGACGCGCAGGGGGCGTGTGGTTGAGGGCTGGCAAGGCATTGATTGGCCTGGCCGGGCCTGACCAAGCACGCTGACGCCTCGAAGATCTGTTTATAGAAACACCTGGATGCTGCAGTATGTTTTCCGTTTCCCGGAGGAGCTAGAACAGGCACCACGACTAAGCACCTTACCCCGTATATTGCAAGTGAGGGCGGCTGGTGGCATCGACTTGTCGAGTATGTAGTAGTATGTATGTACAAGACAAGCAATGCCCCTGCCAGACTTGTTTCTCCAAGGCCATATGGAGCTGCTAAGGAGGGCCGCTTTGCCCCGATCCGGAGAGCGGCGTCCCAAGTTGAACGTCGCATTGACCATTAAATCGTCCGGAGCCAAGCGGCAACCTCCCTCACCTCCAGCTGAGACGACTGCGATCTCAGATTGGGTGTCTTTGTCTGCATGAAGGGGGTTTCCAAGGGGGGCTTCATGGCGGTGTCTCTTTGGCATTGGGAAGACGGAGGGCTTGGTTGTTGAAAGCAAACTTCACGTTCCATGTGAGAAGCCACCTGTAAGGACTAACACCGCCACCGGGGGGGCCTAGCGGTTGTCTCCTGGGATCTCGTTCGCTCGCTTGCCTGCCTGCTGCTGGAACGTCCAGTGTCTGTCGTGGCTCCAACCAGTAGCCAAAGGGGCATTGAAAAGAGGCTCCGGTGTTGGAGCTCGTCGAGGCTCCGTGTTCCAGGTGTTAGCCGCGGGCATGGGCTCCAGAAGTCTGCACCCGCTCATGCAGCGCCCGTCTATGGAGTCTGATGCGGTAGTACTGTAGTTGGACAGGAAGAAGACTGATGTCATCCAGCTTTCGAGTCTGTGATTGCTATGTCGATCAGCAGTGTTGGGCTCTGGCCTCTTCCCCACGATCTCTTGACTCGACTGGGGAGACGCCCGGTTGGCAGAGCCCAGCAGCTACCTCTCGAACCCCCATCACCACCATGACCGCCATCTCTTCTCACCCGTTTCCCGTTTGTTTCACATCTTGTTTCTCTCCTGTTTTGGGCTTCTCACGCCCGTCAAAGCCAAAGCGCCAAACCCATCGCGCGACGGTCCGTCACCTGCGCTGCTGATACACTTTGCGCCTCGAAATAAATTGCCCCGACTCGGATCCAAGAAGTGCCGGCCCTGGCCAGACTCGGGCTGCAGCATTGGCCCGGCCGCCCTTGGTCGAGGCCTATGGGGGGGGGACCTGAACCCTATCAGACGCCGGCACTTCCCGCCCAAACATAGGAGGAAGAGGCGCCCTCGAAATAGCTGACGGGGGCAGTGACTATGCAGTGGAGGTATTGCCGCTGACCCGACAGGCCGGACGAGAAGAGTTGGAACCAGTTGGAGATGCAAGAGGACGAGGAGAGAAATATGATAATACCTAGCCACGGGAAGAGAAAACGGTCTGGTGGGAGAGATTCAGGATCAGTGCCAAATGCGGGGAGTCGAGACCTCTGAGTGGCTGCAACTGGATCCAATGTTTTAGCGCCTGCTTCACTGCGTGAGACGCCTGGAAGCGGCGCGTTTTAGTGGCCTCGGACACGTTTTGGCGGCACTCGGGAGCGCCATCAAAGGGGCCCGGGCGTCGGCGTTGATGCCTTCATGTTACTGTGCCTGAATGCTGGACAAGCAAACATAAAGGAGCTGATATCAAATAATAGCATCACCACGACAATATGTATACAGCGGTGTCATTGGTATGGCTTGCAAACAGAGACTTGGAAACGATTTTGACTAAGCCCCGTGTTTTAACTCCAATTACTACTCCGGATAAACGCCTTGAAACACCGCCGTTCAATTTCCAGGAGCACCCACCGACTCTCGCAAACTATTGCCTGAGCCATGTGTGCTGCCGACGCATAAGGTAGGAAAAGTCGAGTCTTGCTTATACCAGTATGCGATCAATGCATCCATCATATATCACATCCAATCCAACCGCTGTCGCCTTGTTCTTCTAGTCTTGCTGCTCGTATATACTTCCATTTCTCGTGAATAGAGTATCTAGAAGCAAACGGAGTATACAGCACTTCTATTTCCTGTAATTAGAGTACACATATAGCACTTCTATTTCTGATACATCGAGTATACATAAGAAGAAAAAAGTCTTGCTCTCTAAGGTATAATTCGGGAGTCATGAAACAGCAGTCCCTTACACAAAACCCTCCAAGCAATCATCTACTCGTTAAAACTCTCAGTAGCAAACAAACTATCCGCATCATCCTCCGTCTCCTGAAGTTCCATCCCAACAAGCAGCCGCTCCCTCTCGAGAAAAACCTCTCTAATCCACCTCTTCTCCGCCACCATCCGTCTCGCAAGCTGCGCCTCCCTACCCGCAAACGCTGCCTCCATTCTCCTCCTCAAGCTGTACATGAGCTCCTCCTTCACAGTCCGCTCCTCATCAAGCTTGCTCTGATAATGCTGTAACTGGTCGTCTCTCCACCTCTGCCACGTCCGATGCGCCACGTCCATGCGCTGGCGCAAGGGCAGCATGCTTGCCTGCACCCGTTCCTCTCCCCCGTCGACCTTGTCGGCCCAGAAGCTGCGGAGCTGTGCCAGATAATCTTCCTCCAGTTGGCGCTCCCAGGCTGCTCGAGCAGCGTACTCTTTATCGTATTGGTCCTCTCTGGCCCTGAGCTTGGTCGATAACAGCGAGTCGAGGCTCTCGCGCTCGGCCTGCTGCTTCTCTTTGAGTTGGCCTTTGGCCACTTCGGCTTCCACAGCCAGATCCTTGGTGCTCTCGTCTTGTCTTGCGTCGGCCATGATCTGCTGGAGCTCGTTTAGCCCATTCAGCATCTCGCGCAGCTGCTGATACTTGATCTCAATCTCCTGGCGGCGAACCTGCTCCATCCTGAGCCTCTCCTCCACTTCAGCCTGCCATCGTTCCATCTCCAGCCTTTCCTTCTCCAGTCGTTCAATCTCCAGCCTCAAAGCCTCCTGACGCTCAAATTCTTCAATCTGTGCGAGCATCTCACGTAGCTCTTCTGCTTCCGCCCGCTCGTCCACGAGCCTTTGTGCCCTGCGGGCTTCGGCCGCCTCCTTGATGGCGTGTAGCTGCTCGATCGTGCAGCCGCATGTCCTCCAGCGCAGGCCGCAGACGTAGCAGAACTGAGCACCGCATCTGCACGTCATATGCTGACAGGCCTCTTTGTGTTCCACCAAAGCATGGCAGGAAAAACAATGCTTCCAACCTTCTTCCTCTGCCAGCAGGTTGGTCAGATTGAGGTCCCGATCTTGAGGGCATTCGTCGTTCCCGTGAGCCTGACAGCGACAGATGGTACAGGTGACATGGCCGTGCTCGCAACGGGCCTGACGCCTGGTGAGACTGATACTGCCGGGCTTGATCCAGACGCCGCAGTCGGCGTGGTGGCAGTATACCCGCTCGCTGACGGGAATCTCCCATTCTGACGACCTTTCGTGGAACCTTCTTTTGAGGTCCTCGGGGATGTTCTTGAGAACGGTCTTGAAGGGGATCTGGTTCAAGCAGCATTTTGGCGGCCACTGCTGTTCGGTCTGGACTGCTGCCGATACCAGACGGACGAAACAGGGACGGCAGTAGCTATGGCACGGAGCCTTGACTGTGTCTTTGACGGCAACATCGTCGAGGCACGAAACGCATTCTCTGGTAAGAGGCCGAGGTATGGTCAGCCAGCGGACAAGACAGACTCTGCGAAGGACGTCAAACCGATTACTTAGTAGGCCATCAAAAGACTTACACGAGGGCATTGGCATCCGCAGTCTTGAACAGCTTCGTCTTCCTGAGGACAGCAATGGCTTCCAACGTCTTTGGGTTGGCTGATTTCGGGTCGACTGACTGGATCTGGGCCTCGATCTTGTTTCGAAGAGCCTCTCGCGCATGCCCGGCCGCACTGCTCTCGCCCCCGTCCGGATGATTGCGCTGGAACAAGTTGCGAAGAGCAAACTTTCGACGCTTCTCGATCTTTTCTGCCTTGGTTGGGGCTTCCTGGCCACCGGAGACGGTCGACTCCGGTGCTGGACCTTTGAAGCTGGGCCTTGATGGCTCGGCTGGCGGTCCCTCAGATGGAATGATAATGGGCAGATACGGCTCCTTTCCTTTAGCCTTGTGCTTCTCTTTCGCTGCCAGACGAGCAGCAGCTTCGTCTGCAGCCTCCTTTCTCAAGCGCTGCTCTCCAGCTACCCGACTTTTGACATTCTCGATGGAAGAGAAGACAATGTCAAGGAGAACCTGCGATGTGACGTTGGGCGTTTTTCTGAGAGCCGTGGGAGGTTCGTAGTCTTGCCAATCGACGTCGTCCATGTCACCATCGACTGCATGTGGTTTCTCCGTCGTCACTGGTGGCACAATGTCTTTGTCTTTCCCAGCATCTTGAAGCTTGCCTAGCGCCGTGTACGGGTTCTGGTAGAAGTCGAGACAGTCTTCTGGCCCGAGGGAGGCTGACGTGAGTGTCTTGATCTCGACGGTGGATGTAGCCATCGTGCTCCTTCAGCTATTCTCGAGCACAAGTTGTGATTTGCGTGGCTGATGGTAACTTGGTAAAAGGATTCAAGCCGGACACATGTACACACACCACAGAAAGTTGTAGAGCTGTAGGTATGTAGGCACATGTATGTGACTCTTCAAAAAAAAGCTTCGTCCAGAAGACGAGAGAGCATGTGTACACGAGGAACTGCGCAACAGCTCCAAGCAGAATGCAACCACTCCTCCGACATGGCGCTATAAATGGCCTCGTGCTACTTGCATCTCACGACTTCATATGTGTACATGTAGCCAAGAGCCGCAAGCATCCTGGGTTGCTGCCCATCCATCGATCTGCATCGAGCAAGGCACCCTGACACCCAAGCGAATCAGCGGATGCTGTCCGGCCGCTTCGATGCCAGTCAGTTTAAACTGCATCAACCGGCTGCAGGGCGTCGGTGAAGCCGAATTCAGCAATGAATCTATCTTGCGGGGCAACATAGTCTCGCAAAAGGCTGAGCGCCGCTTAGGCATTGGATGGTAGTGGTGGGTTGATTGTGCCCGTACATGTACATGTATGTAAGTGCCAGGTTGAGCTGAGTGCATGAGCTGGACGAGATGGATGCGCCTCAGCCGCACGAGCGGTTGGCTGGCGTCCACTCAAGGCTTCCACGTGGGCGCCCTGGAGGCACCCATCAAAGACGGGGAGCTATTGTTTAGGCAGCCTACATGTAGGTATAGACAGCATGATGCTAGCAAGCAATGCCACGCTTGGTATAATAGTAGTACGAAAGGGGTGGTGTGTTTTGCCAGGATTCGAGGCTTCTGGCGAATCTTGCTGCAAGCAGCATCGACGTTGTATACTCGTTGCAAAAAATGGAGTTTAGATGACGACCAAGCATTCATCGGTATTAGAAGCATTGCCGCAGATATACTCTATGGAAAAGGTATCTGGCATCGTGAAAAGAGTCAATATGCGATATCAATCAACATGAAGTAAGCTTCTTCTAGTCTAGTCAAGGGAGATGGGCAACCGTGGCAGCCACTCCTCCACCATCCATCTACATACGCCAACAGCTTGTATCACCTTTCTTCGTCACCGATATTTACCTCTGAGCCATCTTTGCCATTCTCATACCTGAAAAGCCTTGCTGCGTCATAGACGGCTCATCTAGATCTTGGCCTTTGGAGCCTCAAACTCCACCTTGTTGGTACTATGTCAGAGCGCGGCAAAGGTGCCCATGGTTAGCATCGTCCTGACATCATCACCTCGCCAAAGATCAGGAAGAAGGGGCTTGGACAACGTACCACGTGCCAACGTTCTCGAGGCCGACCTCGACAACGTCTCCATCCTTGAGCCAGACCTGCGGCTTCCGGCCCATTCCAACGCCTTCGGGAGTGCCAGTGAAGATGACGTCGCCAGGCATGAGAGTCACCCCGCGACTGAGGAGAGATATCGTCTTTCGGACACCAAAGATCTGGTCGGCAGTGGTTCCGTTCTTTGTTTCACGAGTCAGCTTGATGATGCACTAATCACATCGAATTTCTTCGTTGTCAGCCCAGTGGGAGACAAAGTCACATACCTGGACCGTCTGTCCGTTGAGCTTCGTCCAGATCCTGAGATTCTGGGGATCCCTGACGACCTCGCCCGTCACAATGGCCGGCCCAAACGGCGCCCAGCCGTCAAAGCCCTTGCCGTGGGACCACTGGCCCCCGCCGTTCTTGATCTGCCAGTCTCGGTGAGAGACGTCGTTGCCAACCGAGTATCCAAGCACATAGTCGAGCGCCTCGGCCTCCGTCACATCAGAGCACCTCTTGCCGATGACGATGACGAGCTCGCACTCATAGTCCAGCCCAGTATCCTCCTGCGCCATCAACGGCACGGGGATAGGGTCAAGGGGGCCTGACAGAGCGGTGACGGGCTTGTAGAACAGCACGGGATACTTTGGCTCCGGCAGGTTGGATTCTTTGGCGTGTTTGGCGTAGTTGAGCCCCAGGCATCGGACCGTCTTGACCTGGGACTGCGACAGCGGCGAGAGCAGCAGACGCACGCCGACTTCCTGGTCCGTGACGTGATACCTGCCAAAGATGTCGCCCTCGATGATGCGGGCGCGCTGGACCTTGGCCACGTCGGTGACGCCTTGGGGCAGGATGGCGTCGCCGTAGTATGTGCGGCCGTCCTTGGCCAGGAAGCGGATGAGACGCTGAAGATGCTGTTAGTCCAGTCTTTTGCTTGCTTGTGTTGTGTGAAGCTGTGAATGTAGACGTACAGTGAACCTGCCGGACATGGTGACGCAACGAAGAGACGCTCTGCGATGCCTGCAGCAAACTTGAACGCTGTAGAAACCAAAGGCAGCTGTATTGACAGTAGTCGAAATCAATCAAACACGACGCAACGCTCTATGAGAATGATTAACGGAAGAAAATCTCTTTATCCGGCATCGCCATGCCCATCAAGATACTACGTAGCACAGCACCTGCATGCTACTCCCCAGATCGACGCGGCTGATCATTTACCCTCCACTCTCTCTCTCTCTGTCTCCCTTTCTCTCTCTCTCTCTCTCTTTCTCTCCATCGGTCTCCGCCCCCCTGGCGCCGAAATCCCCCCACGCAGCAAGTTGAAGCTCTCCGGACATTCCCCAGTTTGGCGGCTGAACTGGCTGGGAAATATTCCACCAACGATGAACCGATGATTTGCCAGCTTCCGGACTTTCAAGAGACCTTCAACCTTTCACCAGCAACTTTTTTGTTCCCCAACAGCGGCAATTCACGGCGCAGACAGGACTTGTGTTTGCGTGTGAGAGAGAGGTGGTAGCACTGCAACTGGAATCTATCGCCTTGCAAAACCAACAGTCATCAAAATAAACATCATGCGTCTGTCAGGCTTGCAGAAGGAGGTGCTGGCGCTGTATCGCCAGTGCCTGCGCGAGTGCCGAAAGAAGCCGCAGGTGTGTACAACAAGCAACAAGTCTTGCAGTTGCGAGATGCAGTTTTCAACTTGCCTATATTTGTCACTGACGCCATGCACAGGACACGCGAGCTCACTTTGAAAAGTTTGTGAGGTAAGGGGGGAGCTGTTGTTGGGCATCATCATGGGTTGAAGCTCATCAGCCTCCCGCAGGGCCGAATTCTCACGCAACATCACCATTGAAAAGCGCGACTTTGCCGCCATCGAGTTCCTGCTGCGCAAGGGCCATCGCCAGCTCGACGTCTACTCCTCTCCTGGCATCAAGGATATCAGGTAATCAGAGTATACAGAGTATCTCTCGCCTACCTACCTTAGGTAGATACTCGGTGCATCTGGACCTGCACCTTGAAGCATCGTCCCCCCGGCAACTCCGAGATACGTGGGCGCCTGCGTCACGATGTTATCAAGACACCAAAGCACCTCCCTACCTATGTTCTACTCCGGTATCTGCGATGGACTCACGGGCAACAGCAGTCGAGTCTCGTCTCGGCCTCTACTGCTCACTTCTTCATCCGTCTCCCGTCGCTCCTGTCTCCATCAATATGCCAGCCATCATGGCTCTTCTCCCCTCAAAAGCTTATCGTCCATATGACAACATTGCTGCATTACCTTCGCTTCATGCCTATATCACCGCCGAAGCAACTTCTTTAGCTATCGCAACAAAGGACTATCGTCGTCACTACTCCCCCATCAGCTTTCCAGTAGCTTCATCGCGTCAAGCTCTCATTATCGTTGACCCTCGTTTCAAATGGCTACATTAGCAGCTATCCCCGAGGCGGCCTCTACTTTGCTCGATAGGAACAGGTTTCGCTTCCGAGACAGCGCTGCGACGGCATCATTCCAGAGGCTGCGGCCGAAATCTCGTGTTGTCATTCTCTCTAGACGAAACAGCCGGGCGCCCACTCCAATCAGCAAGGCCTCTCCTCCCCCGACGTCTCCTGGGTCGGTGTACAGCAGTGATGTTCGGCGAGCTTCTGAGCAGCACCATGCAGAGTTGCCGTCTTGCGAGCCGCCCATTCCGCCTTTGGACCCTTCTCGTCGCGCTCAGCCTGATCTTCGCTCGACATATGACGGAGCAACCTCGTACCAAAGAGCTACTGTGAGGTCTATCGATGAGGTATCCTCTCTCGACAACGCGTGGGAGCCTTCCTCACCATCCATCGATTTGGACACTTTTCCGCTGCCGCCGGTGATCAGACCTTTGGGCGTGCCCAGCTACGAGGGCCCCCCTAGGGTTTTGGCTGCGAATCGCTCACGCAATCCTGCATCAGCACCGCCAAAATCCGCGTTGCCGACAAGCTTCGCCAATGTCAATTTCTCGCCTCCAAACACCAGGCGGAGGCCTCATGTGGGCATATCTAGGAGCCCACGTTCTTCGCATAGTTTTCTCGATGGTGCGGCCGACGTTGCGAGCGCTTCGAAACACACTTCCATCGACTCGGCTCTTGTGGAAGCCATTTCGCGAAGCGTATGCCAGCAGCTCAGCCTCTTCAACGCCATATCAAAGAAGAATCAAGAGAAGCAAGATCCACGGACGTCCAGAGAGGCACCCCCTGGCCGGCACGGAAACCATTCGAGGGTGTATGACAAGCCTCTTCCGTCCACGGCTCACGCAGAAAGACAACATAGGCACCCACCAAGAGCCAGGAATCCGCCAACAACACCAACAAAGTCTAGTATATCGCTGCATACAGTATCCGAACTAATGCCCTTTCGCCCGGAATTCAAAGCAGCAGGACTGGCAGTCACATCAAAGGAGCAGAAGCGCGGGTTTCCCGCGTACATTGCAAGGCTCATCTCATCAAAGCCACGCCAAGGACGAGTACATCCCTCTCGTAGCAAGCATTCAAAGGTGCCAGGATTCGACGGCCCCAAGGACCAATTCTCGAGCGGGAGCTCAGGAAGCGAGATATCATTTGCCGTCTCACAGGACATGGACGAATGGAGATTGGCACTGATCGAAGAAGCACCCGTTCGGAAGCAGAAGCGGCGGCCCGCCAAGGAAAAGAAGAAGAAGAAGAAGAAGCATAGGCGGCGTTGGTTTCCCTGCTTCCGCAAGGGCGATGACTCTGCTGCGGATGGGGACGCCTTGTCGAGATTGTCAAGGGACTTACCTCCAACACCCCCTCCCAAGCCCACGCCTCTCAAGATGTCCCAGCGTAGTGATCGAGGAAATGGTTCTCGACCAAGGGTCGATTCGATTCCACGCAGCCCGCGTCACAGAAGCATCGCGGCAAGAGATGCAGATCGGGGAGCATGCGATTTCTGTCTGTACAGAGAACCAGCAACCGGTCAGGGCTACCGTGGAGGCCATTACGACGGCAAGGGAAGCTCGCACGAGCATTATTGCCTGCGGCAGCATGGCAGGAGGAGAGCGCAGACGACGCAAAACCCCCCTGCCCGCCATCTCCATCCACAGGCAGGCCAGAGCCACCAAAGACCGTATCAAAGTCTCCCTAATCACAACTTGAGAAGAGACATCAAATCGAGTCATCCTCGTCCAAGTTTCGATCCTGATCACATTGGCGTATGCTGCAGGGGTGGTCGCGACGTCTCCAATCAGGCCAAAGCGCCACCCAATGTTCCCGTGAGAACATCGTCGGTCCGAGAGAGCCTTCCGCACTCGGAAGACGGCCGCCGAGGCGACGACGTCGGCGTAGTTGATCGAGATGTACTCCGGGGCCTGCATATAGCCGCATCCGCAGCCTGTGACGAAGAAGTGGACGCCTTTGTGCGGAACAAGACTGGCTTGCGGATACGTCGGTTTCTGGCAGACTTGATGGTGCTGGAGACGCTGCGTGACGGAGATGCCGATCAAGGCCACGGCCAGGGTGCGAGGCGGAAGAGGGCAACCTTGAGGCAATTGAAGCAGCAGGTCCGCCGATCTCGCGAGATGAGAGGTCCTGAATCCAGTGCTTGATGGGATAGAGTGTCCTTTGGTCTCAGGGTCGATGTCTGCCAAAACTCATGGCGGGAGGGAGTAAAAGCCACACTTCTCGAGCTTTTGGGTATGATGCAGATTGGAGAATGATGGCTTATATATGTATATGTATTTCCTGCTGTCCACTTCGAATCATTGCAGTAGAGGTTACCTGGGCTGATCTGTCTATTCTTATGTTTTGGCTATTGTTATAATACGAAACACAATTCCATGTCAAGTTGAGCGCTCACTCGTTGGCATCGTGCTGTAGGAGGAATCCATCGTCAACTGCTGGGTATATTTCATTTGACAGCCAGAGTTACTACCTACCTACCTAGACACAACCTATCCTAATGTACCAAGGGCGGGATCCTTTACACGAGCTCCCCAAGCAGATGACCGAGCTTGATGGCGACACATATCGCTCCAACCATTTCATAACATCATTCGTACACCTGCTCCAACGGAAACGTTTCTCTCCCTTCCTTCCCCCGATACCCCAACGAAAACAAAACACACGCACCAAAGAGAGCAAGACTTTTTTTTTCTTTCCCAAATTCACACACCCCATTCAACGCACCTCCGGATGCACCAAGCCTCCCAGGTCCTTGGTCTCTTCAAGGATCCGCCTCGCCTTCTCCGGCGAGACGCGCATGTCCTCCATGATGAGCCGCACGCCCAGCTCGGCCACGAGCACCGACTCGATGAACATGGGCACGCCCCTACCGGCAATGACCTTGTCGCGGGCGGCCTTCTTCATGAGCATGTCGCTGAACTCGCGGACGAGGTAGTCCGTCATGGCGTTGAAGCCGCGCGGGCCGTAGTAGCCCGGGATCATGTTGCCCTGCTTCTTGGCGGTGCGCTCCTGGCCGAGCTCGATCTTGTCCGCGAGGGCGGCGCGGTAGTGCGAGGCGCCGCCGTTGATGATGGCCAGCAGGTGGTCGCGGTGCTTGGCGAAGCGGGCCTCGAGCTCGGGGCCCCATTCGACCTGCGGGTATGCCTTGGATTCCCAGGTCGCCATGGCCGACTTCTGCTTGTGCGAGGTGCAGAACCTCTGCTGGCGCTCGACGTTGAGGCGCTTGCCCTTTGAGAAGTCGGCGAGCTGCTTGGAGTCGACGGCTGCGCCGCACCAGGGGCACGGGGCGCTCGTGTCCTTTTCGCTGTCCCTGGAGAAGACGGAGCCGAGGGAGCTGAGGGAGCTGCTGCTGCTGCTGCTGGAATCGGAGAGGTTGCCGTCGTTGGCTGTGGCACCGTTGTTGTTGTTGGCGGGTTTTGTGAAGACGAAGTCCGAGGGCTGTGCGGGCGTCACGAAGCTCGGTGCTGGCGGCGATGATGACTTTAGCTCTTCTTCTGCTGCTGCTGCTTCTTCTTCGTCGTCGTCGTCGGCCTTCTTCTTCTTCCTTCCGCCTATCGGCTTCTTTCTAGGAAGCAAAGGGTTGGCCTTCTTCTTGAGTTTCGAATTGAAATTGGTAGCAAAGTCGTCGGCTTCATCTGGGAGGTCTTTTGGGTTGTTGAAGCTGAGAGCAGGGGTATCGTCATCGTCTGCGGTGTCAAATCTGCTCTTTGGCGGATAATGTAGTAAGCGTCTCAGTGGTCGGATAGGAGAAGGCTCAGGGCTACCGTCCACGATGAACTGGGAACTTTTCCGGACCGATTGGCCAGGGCCAGGGAGCGGGTGAGGAGGAAGAACATTGGGCTTTGGCTCGTCTGGGACTATACAACGTCAGTCATTTGGCGGTATACAAGCAGCGGGGAAAGGATGCAGTGTGCGAACCTCTGAGCTTCCGGTTCGCCTGATAGGTGGCGCTCTTCTTGCCAAAGGTGGCCTTTACCTTGGCCTGCTTCGTGAAGCCGAGGTCGTCGGTGAGGTGGCTGGCGGAGCGCGAAGGCAGTACAGGTGCATTGACGAAGGCGTTCTTCTTATTAATATTCTTGTTGTTGTTGTTGGGAGAGTCAGACTTCCTCTTCCTCTTCCTACTTCCCGCCTGTGCCTCCTCCTCGGATTCCGGCTCTGTGTTTGTGTCTTGGCCTGCAGATTGACGGTCTCGTCTTCCACCTTCTCGGCCTTGAAGTTTGAAAATGGTAGGCTTGATGGCGCCTCGACTAACAGGACCATCTGAGTCCGAGCTATCGCCAAGGAGATCGTCGAGCTCAGCTTGGGTCTCTGTGTGTTCAGCATTCTCGTCGTCGTTGTCGTCATCGTCGTTGTTTTCGAGGTCGCTAGACGCGAGAGGTGGCGCGGTTATATCTTCTTCTTCTTCTTCGTCGTCATCGCTGCTGGGGACAGGGTCTGGAACCTTGAGCGAAGAGCGCCGACTTCGAGTCTTGGGCTCCGGTTCGGGTGCCGTTGTCGCTTTCGCTGCGGTTGCTGTCGTGGATCCGTTCCTATTCCTGACCGACTTGAGCAGCGGCTGCGGCGCGTTGCGGACGCTCAAGCCTACTCGTCTCGCGGGCTGAGGACGCATGATGCCGCTTCCTCTGTACCTCGCAAAGAGGGCACCTCCAGGATCGACGTGGCCTCGAACGAAGCCGCAGCCTGGTTTTGTTTATGCCCGGACACGCCCAATGGCCGTGAGCCCTATGTCTCCAGGACCTGAAATGCCGCTGCTAGACCGCCCGCCTGCGGCACCTGGTAAGATTTGAGGGCTCTCAGCAGCCAATTGCGTTGCGAGGCAGTGGGAGTCGTGGCCGGGCGATGTTACACACGGCGCGTCCTGGACGACGCGTGCGTTATTGCGACTTGGAGGCGGGATGGCGTCGTTAGTTCAAGTTGGGTACAAGTCGGCCAGTTCAGGCTGAGTTCAGGTTGGTTGTCTGGTGTGGGCGGCCCATCGCTATAAAGCTTGGATATCGCCTTTGCGGGGTTCTTTTTGCATGGGACAGCAACGGCAGCTGATAACAGCAGTTGATACCCTGGAGCTGTGCAGCTAAGATGTTGTGTAGGTCTGTATCTTGAGTAGATGGACGACTCCTTTTACTGAAGAGATTAGTTGACATTTCTGAAATACATACCTTATTGTCAGTGGAGGTGTTGTGAAAGGGTACATATCAGTATCAGAGCTGGAAGGCTTTCGCCATGAAGGTCCCTTTAGCGCCCCGCGATAATAGCACCAGACCAGCTGCAAGGCTGTCAGCGCCTGTACTTACAGGGAGGTGGTGACCCCTGGCAGCAACCTAGGTAGAGACCCGGACCTCGACTGTCAATATTCCATGGTGGAAAGCTCTCATCTTTCAAGGTTCCATCATCTCGACAGCCACCACTCACAATTCTAAGCGGGCTGCACCTCTTTCAAGCCTGCTCTGAATCACATTCCGCCGCTCACTATGGCGCTCAACCGCAAATACGCGGCGCTGCCAGATCTCGTATGCTCTCCCGTGTCAGACACACCGCACCTTCACACTCTGACCCGCCCATAGGACTCTGCGCCAGACATCTACGAGACCCCAGAGCTCACAGACGACAACTCGACGGTTCCGGTAACAGCTCCAGCTGCTCCCTTTCTTGGTAAACGGCAGCTAACGACATGAACAGACGACCGCGGCTCGGACCCATTCCGACGATGAGTTCTATGGAGAAGACGACGAGTCACAAAACATCTCGCGGTCGAGGTTGCGCATTGACGAAGCACGCTCTCGCTTCTCTCCAGCCACCATCGACATCAGCGGAGCCGACTTTTCAGATCGCGTGGACGGCAAGCGACGATCGTACAAGGCCTCCAGTCGCCGCCAACGGATACTGCAGGATGGGACAGAAGAGCTGGGAGATCTTTCGGACGATGACGATGTGGAGAGCCTGGAACGCAAGATTGCTCGTCTGAAGCGAGAGGTAGAAGAGACCAAGGACGAATACGCCAAGCGAAAGGGAGCTGCGGCCGGCGAGGCTGATGGTTCTCCGGACGACACGAGGCTGGAGTCGCTAAGCCAGACGCTGGACGATCTCTCTAGGCGCTCTGGCATCACGAGCATTCAAAAGATTGAGCCGACAGGCTCTGGCGCAAACGAGCCAGTCACGGAACCACTCGAAGCCGGGCCTACGTACACCATCACCTACGCGCCGACGTACGAGCAGACGCATGCTCTCGCCAAGGCGGCGGATTTCGATCGCAGGCTGCTGATCTTGGAGAGAAGCCTCGGCATCAGCTCCTCGTCCATAACAGAGGCCGGCGAGGGCGGGCTTCCTCGGGCAATCCTTCCCACTCTCGACTCGTTGGAAAAGCAGATCTCGACGCTGTCGCAGGCCTCGACTGCCAACCTGGACACCATCAGTCGCCGAGTCCGCGCACTAGCTACCGAGCAGGACAAGCTAAACGAGTCGCGCGAGAAGGCAAAGGCTCTGCGGGAGGAGCTTGGCAAGCACGCCGGATCGCCGCCGACGGACACGTCTGAGCAGGAGGCCAAGATCAACGCCCTGTATGCGATCCTGCCGGCCATTGAGAACCTCACGCCCATACTGCCCCCTCTTCTCGACCGCTTGCGATCGCTCCGGGCGATTCACGCCGATGCCGCAACAGCAAGCCAGACATTAGACCAGATCGAGAAGCAGCAGGCAGAGATTACAGCAGAAGTCAAGCTGTGGAAGGAAGGCATTGAGAAGCTTGAAGAGACTGTGAGCAACGGCGACAAGGTCATGAAGACGAATGTAGAGGTCATGGAAGGCTGGGTCAAGGACCTGGAGCAGCGACTAGAGAAGTTGTCATAGATGCAGTTGCGATTACTTGTCTTGTTACCATTTTGACACTGCAAGGAAATGATACCCAAGATTATGAGAAGCCCTTCCGTTACCTGACGCTGGAATCTCTTGTAATAGGTAACAATATCAATTGAAGCTCCTGAAGAGGCTAGTATTTTACAGTACAGCTCCAATCATTAGCGCCCGCTATTCAGTCCTCGATTTCATTGGGTTGAATGCCTAGGGCAGTCGTGTGGAGACACTGACGATGGATATTTAAAGCCTCTCTGAACCGCACCCAGTCATCTTTTTTTCCCTTTCGCTTCTTTCTCTTCATCACGATTCTTCTTCCAGAACAAGATACAAACTGTTCGCCAAACAGGATGTTGTAAGTGCAAATTCTCCCTTTTGCAGCTCGCCATCCTACTTTCTAGCATGATGTCAAAAATAAACAGCATGTATTACCTGAACTACATTGATGTTATATTTTATCACCAAGATCTCTGATCCTAGAACCTTTCTCTTCACCTTTTTGTCTCCTACAACTCCATGTTGAGAAGCATCTACGCTAACAGACATTGAACACAAAAGCAGCAGCTAGAATCTAATAAATATTTCCTATTTTTCAATAATCCCGCCTCAATCACAAGTTCTCATCATTTATTCTCCTGCTTCACGTAGTTCTCCTTGATCAAAACCACCCTCGTCATGACATCATCCGCACCCAAACCCCCGCGCGGCCACTTCAGCATCCTCTACTTCGCCAGCGCCGGCTCCTTCACCGGACGAGACTCCGAGAGTCTGCCCGCGCCATTGCCCCTTTCGAAGCTCTTCTCCGAGCTGGAGACGCGGCATCCCGGCTTCAAGGCCAAGATTCTGGATTCGTCTCTGGTGACGGTCAACCTGGACTATGTAGACGTGCCGGGCGAGGGCGAGGAAGGCCCCGTCATCCAGGAGGGCGATGAGGTTGCCATTATTCCGCCCGTGAGCTCTGGCTGAAGGGGGAATCTTCTTCGGCCTTTGCTTCCTTTTTCCCCCCATAAATCCTCCAAGTCTTTGCGGGTTTGTGATTGAAGTTGGGGAAAGAGTTTCTTCACGTAAAGACGCGCCGGGACGTCTTCATGAGAGATTTTCAGGCGAGTCCTGCTGCCGTGGAGAGAGCAACGGATCGCGCTCTGCATCATCAGCTCTGCCGCCTCGCTCTGGGAACAACACCTGCTTCCACCGAGGAGCCCAGCCCCAACTCATCACTTTACGTCCTGAATTCCGCATTCTCCGGACCGTTAGCACCGCCGCCGCGATAATCGACACCGCCGTCAACGTCGCCAAGACGGTCACCACGATTGCCAGCGCCATGCCAGAGGACACGTCGCATCCGAGAGGCCTCGTCCTGATCTCCCATCTTTCATCTGGATGCGGACAGATGGTCTTGTCAAAGGCCGGTGCCAGCATTGGGATGGCGGCTTCATTTGGCACGCATGACCATGTCTGCCCATTAAAGAGCGTCAATATCCGTTCTTCGGGAAGAGATGTAGTATATATAGATATAGTATAGACTTACATAGGGACACCAGCTGCAGCCTTTGCTGTTGAGGCATCCTCCGCACGCCTGCTCAGCCCAGCATCGCCGGAAATGCTCATCCGCAGTCTCGGCGGCTGAAAAGTTGGCTTTGAAGGCCTCGTATGTACTCATTTTATTTTTATAAATCAATACGTAGGGATGAACAAAGTCGACTTGGGAAATGAATTTGCGAGCTGTAAATGAAGCGAGTTTGTCGTTGAGGTTCAGACTGCTACTTTTCACAAGACACTGGGCAAAGACGACAGACTTTCAGGGCCATGGAAGGGATACAAAGGTAAGGTAAAAGGTGCAATGCGGGGAAACAAAAGAGATGGAACGGAATAAAGTTTCCATGGCAAGTAGCAACGTCAGCCCATAAACACATCCGGAGACGGATAGGGTATGAGCCACACTCTCGTAGCTTCACTTCTACATTACTTAGGTCTCTTGCAAGTATACGTATCCCAATACACCAAGAAACTCGATGTGACGAGAGCAATCAGAGACTCTTTAGCTTTTCCCTACATCTATCATCTGATTGATAGAACCAAAGGATCGTAATGTAACGTCTAGATCAGTCCATGGCAGCAGACCAACTCATCAACTGCGTAATGGCCATCGCCATTCATCTCAAAGCAGCACCGCAATCGCCTCAAGCCCAGCCAACGACATCTTTTCACCACTCACCTCACTCAGCGTTCGATCATGCGTGCTCAAAAGCACCTCCTTCGGGACATCCCCCACAGGAATCTCCCACTCAACCTCGTCAAGCGAGAAATTACACACAACCAGCGCCGCCACCGATCCATCCGCAGCCCTCCTCCTGTACGCAAACACCTTTTCGTTCGGCTCATCGACGAGCTCAAAGCTACCGTACACAAACAGGTCCTTGTGCTCCTTGCGCGTCTGCAGGACCCGGCGGTACGTGTGGTAGACGGATCGCGGGTTGCCCGTCTGGGAGGCGGCGTTGACGGCCTTGTAGTTGTCGTTCACCCGCATCCAGGGGTGGGTGCTGGTGGTGAAGCCTGCTTGGGGGGACGAGTCCCACTGCATCGGCGTGCGGGCGTTGTCGCGGGACTTCTTTTGGTATTCTGCCTTGACGAGCTTTTTGGTCTCTTCGTCGGCGGTGTCCTTGTATAAGCTATGTGAAGCACGATGGCCTCTGATCAGTAACACGAAATTCGACCGAGCTCCTTGTGATGCTCATCCAGTATCAGCGACTTACTTCCAGTGATTGAGGCAGTCGACGTCTTTATATTCCTCAATGGGCCACTCCTTGGGGACGTTTGTCATGCCAATCTCCTGTCCCTGGTATATAAACGGCGTGCCCGCCTGCAACACATGGAACAGGGCAATGAGCTTTGCGCTGGCCTCGCGGTGCTCGGGGTCGTCGTATAAGAAGCGGCTGATGACGCGCGGCTGGTCGTGGTTCTCCAGGTACAGGGCGTTCCAGCCGTTGTTCTCGTACATGAACTTTTGCCACTTGTTGACGACTGTCTTGAGCTTTGCGAGGCTGTAGGTGCCTGGGGAGAACTTTCCTTTCGGGCCGTAGTCGAGATCCATGCTGGGTTTTTGGGAGTTAGCTTTGGTGTCTTCAAACGACTTCCAATTGTTGGGCTGATGGGCTCCTTGGGGAGGGCCTCTTACTGTTCAAAGTGGAAAATCATGTTGAGCTCGCCGCGGTCAGCACCCACAGCCTTGATCAATTCCTTCTCGTCCTGCACACACGGCATCTCCCCCACGTTGAACGCATCATATTCCTTGAGGATAGCCCCCAGTTCTGCCAAGAACTCATGGCAGCGAGGCCCGCAAGCATAGTACTCGTGCCCCTTCAGGACCGGCTTGTCAGAGTCTGGGAAACGCTGATCCTTGCTGATGAAGTTGATCACGTCCATCCGGAAGCCGTCTATTCCTCGGTCGAGCCAGAAGCGCATGACGTCGTGGACAGCTTCGCGCACGGCCGGGTTTTCCCAGTTGAGATCCGGCTGTTCTTTGCAGAAGAGACGGAGGTAGTACTCGTCTGTTTGCGGGTCGTATTCCCAGGCGCTGCCTTGAGTTGTAGCAGTTGATGTCAGAACGAACCCAGCAGTACATTCAACACTTTCACATCACCTTTGTGAATCTCTTCTGTCGTCATGGCGGACGTACCTTGGAAGTGGCTCTCCCAGTTGTTGGGGGGTTGCCGATTGCCCTGAGCATCGTATCTGGGAGGACGCCAGATGTACCAGTCTCTGAAAGGGTTGTCCTTTGACTTTCGTGATTCCTTGAACCACGCGTGCTGATCGCTCGTGTGATTCACAACCAGGTCAAGGACGAGCTTCATCCCTCGTTCATGCAGTTGATCTTTGAGGGCATCGACGTCACTAATGTCTCCGTAGATGGGATCGATCTTCTTGTAGTCGCTGATGTCGTATCCCTGAGCAGCTGCTGATCAGAACAAACATTCTCGAGGAGGGAGTCCATCAACATGTAGGGTAGGGCAATCTCAGACGAACCATGTCTTTCTGAGGGCTCTCGAATATGGGCGACAGCCATACTATGTCGACGCCGAGGCCCTTGAGATGGTCTACGCGTGAAATGATGCCCTTGATGTCGCCGGTGCCGGAGCCTGTGGTGTCTTGGAAGGATGCCGGGTAGATCTGATACACCGAACTCTCCTTCCACCAGGTTTGGAGCTGTTCCGTGGTTGAGCCCATTGTCGGCACCCTTTCACAAAGGACTGGTATACGGTAGGATGTAATTGATTCAATGTAATGACAGAGGATCAAGTATCAAGAGCATGAGAGAAGCTTCACACAAGGGCATTTCTATGCCTCGTTCAGGCCAAGTTGAAGAAACCGCAACTAAAGCGGTTATGCGGGGGGGATTCGCGGGGAACGGAATCCACTGTAAGAGCACTATGTCGTCGCCATCTCCATATAGTGGAGGTGGTTTCATCATCTCACAGCAGAAGGCATGATACATCATTCGGAGATACTACAGAAGCACCGTGGACAGAGATGGCAGATTCGAGTCTATCAGACAGATTTATCCGTGGAATTTGTCCGTCTGTATTTCCAGACACAGAGGAGGCACCTATAGATAGAAGCCTCAGGACCGAGACAGACCGCGCCGGATATCTCCCCGCATCATGCGCCGAGTGCACGTTAGTGCCACATACCATATACAAGAGGTAGTGCTACTATAGGTACCTTATAGCAAAATGGCTTCAAGATCTTGGCCGCCGTGATGGAGAGACGCTGTGCGCACCAACATCAGGGTACATGTAGGTAGGTAATACATGTAATGACTGGTTCGTAGCGAGATGACGAGAACAATGGGCTGCGGTTCTGAAACAAAACAACCTTAATTCGGAAACTTGATGCCCTCGTACATCGTACAAAGGACGACACCAGCCTCAGGCTAGCCAGCCTCGACGTCCTCAAAATAGCATCATGCAATCTCCACGCTGCGACCAACGCACAGCAGCTCTCTATTCTAGCCTCCATCCGTGCACCAAAGGATGAAGTAGTACTTACTAGTATACTACAGTAGTAGTCGCAATCCTCCGCATGAAACAAAGATCACTTTATGCCCCAATGCATCTTTCGTCTGTGCGGCCATGCAGTACTGTACTATGTAAAAAATGATCGATCTCTCCTGGGCTGATGCAACTGACTCGATGTGGGCACATTTGGGTCGTTTCAGGTTCGTTCCTTGTTTCCTCGGGATGAAGGAAGAGAACGACGTTTGAAACTGGGCGACCGCCACCAGCCAGCGGGGGATGTTCCTGCCTCTCACGACAATGAGCTGCCATGTAATTGATCTGATTCAGGGCTGCATCGTCTTTGTCCAATGCATGCGTCGATTATTACATAGGAGGCCTTCTTAGGTTTGGTTGCAAGTGGCTTCCTCTTCGGCTCTACAAGAGTCCGATAACATCAGACTTTCGAGCACTGGCTCAAAAGCCCGCTTATCTGACCGCCGTCATAGCACAGGCAGTCAGGCGATTTGACATGTGCTTCTGCAGAAGACGCAGAGCTGTCATCACTCGATCCCCCCTGGGCTTAGATGTTTCTGAGCTGACCTCGATTAGAGCCCATACATACCTACTACTAGTAGTAGGTAATATAGCTTCAGGGTGTCTTGGTCAGGATATTACCAGCGCTAGCGGCTCGGCTGGGTAAGGACCCAAGATTCGAGATTCCATGTCCGCGGCCGTACAGCGAGATTACGGTATTAGCTGAGCTGGTGTATTAGAAGACGCTGGGGGATTCGACAAGCGCAGAAAAGGGACGTGTTGCGTGTTGCGCGCAGCAGTGAGTCGAGCGTTGGCAGCCAATGCTTGGTGGCGGTTGTCATGACGCAGGCTTATGGAAACTGGTGCTGGATGACTTTGGATGACTGGTATGAAGACTGGACACTTGCTCTAGCCATCCGGAGGAGAGGGAAGTCTATCTACCCGAGCAGCATTTCCGCCGCAAGCCTCCCGATACGGGCGAATCCGCTCATGCTGCGGCCAATGCCTGTCTGGTGATGGCGGGTTAGTGTCATTCAGCACTGATGCCGCGGCCGCTGTCCAATCTTACTGTGAGCTACCGTGACCTACTATCATTTGTACATATCAACCTAAGCATACCTACCTAGGGTACATAAGGCAAGCGGGCATGGACGAAAGCTGGAAGATGTTTCAATGACATTTGACTAGCCCGCCCTGGCCCGTATCCCCGGCCACTGTATGTACAATTGGTAGTCGTATAATACTGTATACCTAAGATATGGTTGTCCTCGACCCCGGCAGCGGCCTCGGCGAGATGCGCGACCTGTCAGCGCAGCTGGTGTTATCAAGAGGGCGAAAATGTCAGTGTACCTCACGACAGCATACTGGTACCTAGGTAGGCAACGCGGTATTACATTACCTACTAGGTAGTAGTACTTCTCCAATCGAGGTATGATGTGAAGACAGCGTGACCACGACGACCAGACATCAACATCAGCAAGTCAGCTCGACTCGAAAAGAGATGAGATGGAGAGGGGCAGCGGCTAACAAAGGATGAAGGAAAAAAGCAAAACAGAAATGCGCTGGGCGGGTACAAAGCGTCTCTGTAGCTATACCTTGAAGCACACACGACAGATGACTTGAGCAGAGGTACCCGTACTTGTTTGGAGCCATGCTGGAAAGTGCCGTAGCCGCGGAATACGCCCACTTGGAAGCGGCAGCCCATTTGGCGGGTGCCGTGATCCGCCTGCCCCGAGCGGGGAGAACGTCATTTTGCCGTATTCAGCCCGAGCTTCACGAGTACCTTTTTTTTCTTAGCTGACGTACCTTGGCAAGCGGCTGTTGAATTGAAGAACTGAAAAAATTTGATTGACTGAACCGGTTCAATGGCTTTCTGAAGCTGATGAAAGATCACCAGCTCCTTGGCCTCCTTGGACGAGCGTACTGGACGAGGCAAGACCAGCAAGACCAGGCAAGGCAAAGAAAGAGAAGGCATCTTGATGTGAGCCCGTATTAGTACTTGATTCTCCCAAGCTGCTATTAGAGAGAGAAAAAAAAAAGGCCAACAATTGGGGTTGGGGCGATCCCGTTTGATTGGCGCCCATGCAGGTGCCACGCCATTGGATGCTGGCGCTAGTCCGCAGTCCCGGGCTGCCGATGGACCGTTTGGAAAAAGGCGCTGTAATCTGTACCTATCTACAGGTACCTATTATGCAGCAGTAACAAACGAAGGAGGGACACAGCAAGAAACAGAAACCAGTGGAAACGAAACAAAGGGCCGTTTGTAAGGTGCTTCGTATCAGGGCCAATCTCCGAGTCGTGCCTCTCTTCGTTTGTCGTGCCTGCGTGTGTATGACGGCGACGCTTGATGGACGCATGCAGATTGCACCTGAACCACTTACACAACGCTCCCACTTACACACACGCCCCCCCTCCTCTCCTCCCCCCATCTGACCGCTCTGCCATCCGCGACTCTTTGTGCTTCGTCCCGGCAATGGCAGCTTGAAACCGTATAAAATACGAGGATCAGGACAGACAAAGCAATTGATTGATTGACCGATGCCTAAACAACTTGTTTGTGCACCCTCAAGAGCTTTTTTTTGCTCTGGGATATGGTGTCCCTATCAGATTCAATGGTACGTAGGTCGCACCATTCCGGCTCCTGGATGTTGATGAATGCGCATAGACTCCCTTGGCGCAAGCTGCTCTGTGCACCAGCCAACGGGAGGACAAGCCCGACACGGTTCGAGGTTGACAGGCAGCAGTATTTCGCTGCCATCTGATTCGATTCATCCAAGCTCCTCGCTCTTGCGCAAGCCTTGACCACCACCACCACCATCCCTCCCTTTCTGTGCCCGCGCGCCCATTATCATACCAACAACGCACGCGGCTGACGGGCTGTGTCTGCGCTGTGCTGCCCGTCGATTTGCGTCTGAACAAGTCTGGAGTCTCACCTTCTTCACGTCATGTTGCTAAATTCGGTACCCTTGAATGACTGAGCGGGAAATGCTCCAAGATGAGACAGGACCAGGGCGCTGAGCTGCAGCTGTGCGAATTGACGCATGTAATAATACCCGCCATAAAATACCTTACCATGTACATGTACAAGTACCGGGCTTGTCCGTACGTGCATATGCCGTGCTTAGCAGAGGCACCCTGGACGCTAAATCGCTTGGGGGGGTGCAGCGTCATGCTACATTGGATTTGATGGCATGCTTTTCGAGCTACGACAAGCATGGAATATGGAGTAATGGACCCGACCACTAATAATATGGAGTATCAACTACTATTACCTAGTATTATGGAGTGCTACCAGAGAGGTAAAGCTGTTCGGTTCGGCCCCTCTCAGTCGGAAGAGCAGACAGGCGAGAGAAAAAAAAAGCACAAGAGAGAACGAAAGAGAGAGAGAGGGTTTCCCCTCATTGTGGCTTACCGCCGAAAATTGTGATAGAAAATTGTCTCGCCGTGGGTGACAGCGAGAAATGGTAGAGTATTAAGTGACTTGTAACACCCCTTGTCCAAGCCATGGGACACGCGAGGGGCCATCGGTGGCACATGTGATTCGATTCAATCTGGATTGCGTGCGAGTTCTGAGCCAGTTTACCTTATGGTATTAGCGAGGCGTTGGTCAAGCCATATGAGCAGCTATATGCCTACCTTACCTTACTACAAACGCGCCAAGAGGTGCTTGTTGTTGTTGTTGTTGTTGCTGTATTCGTACAAGGTACATGTACATGCCATATCATCTCGACGTCGGATGGTTTGTACATTTTCGGCACCGCTGCCCGGGAGCATCTTGAGGTTGTGCCGGCGGCTACGAGAATACTACATGTACCATGTGCGGTACATCCAGCAGATGAATGTGGCCGAATCGGACGATAACTCGAGTGCGCATGTCAAGCCGTAAGGTGCCTTATGTAGGTACTAGTAGGTACCTAGTAATACTACCTACTTGTATCAATTGCAAGCTGTCTGCGTGTGTGCGCGAGACTTTTTGGGTGCGTTCGTGTGCCTGTCCGCTTTCTGCCACCGAGCCTCCGCCTCGCCTCGATTTTGCATCGAGTCCCAAGTCCAGTCAAGCCAACCCTCCGCCCACCCCCTCACACCCCCTCAGAGCTAAGCAGCAAACTGTTCAGCCCTGCCAAACCGGCTCTGGGGCTGGCAAAGCCGCTGCTCTGGTCAAGCCTCTGACTCTCTGCTCTCTGCTCTCTGCCTCTGCTCTCTTTGCCCTCTGCCTGTGACATTTTTCGTTACTTGGATAATCCCGCGCCGCAGCCGGCATTCCCCCAGCTCCTCCATCCAGCCCCTCGTCATACTTCGCCCGCCGACAAGACGTCGAAAAATCTCTTTTGCTTCTGGCCGGGCCCGACAGCGCAGACAGACGACGGGAAACTGCAGACAGACGACCACCAGACAAGACAAGACAAGACAAGACAAGACTAGACAGCTCCTGCGGCACGGCGTCGAGCCCAAGCATGACGTGAATGCGCCTCGCCACGACTCCAGCACCGGTTCTCTTGCAACGCATGGTAGTGGCCTGGAGCTGTCGACAATGACGGAGAAGGACGCTGCGTTCCGCATCAGCTCCGGCACCAGCGCCAGCAACAGCAGCACTCGCTCCTCCATCACGGCCAAGCCCTCGACCCCGACCGCGGCTTCAGCCGATGCTGCTGCGCGCAACGGTAACGGTAACGGTGCCGGCGCCGGGTCCAGCGCTGGTGCCGGCGCAGGCGCAGGCGCAAACGCAAACGCAAATGCAAACGCAGGTCAAGATGCCGGTACCGACATTGGCGCAGGCGTAGGAATGGGGATCGGTATCGGCATCGACCCAGCCCAGCTCGACTCGGATGTTCCCACGCCTCATCACCACAAGTAAGTGTCACGTTTGCCAGCTTCGCTCATCTCCCCCTCTCGCTCATCCAGCCCGTCTTCCTACCCTGGCGAGCCTCGTGCCGCCCGCCCGTCCCGTCGTCGCCTCTTTTGCTCTCCATCCAAACTCTGGCAACGAGGAAGCAATGTCTAACGCGGGCCCCTGCGCCGTTGCGGCTGTGTGTAGGAGCCTCTCACGAGATGACGACCTTCAGATCTCGCCCACCTCGACCAATACCACTCGCGGCGCCGCGATGACGCCCTCGTCGTCCAGTCAGGGAGGCCGTCGACTGAGCGATCTCACAAACTACCGCCGCGACCTGGCCGTGCTCGATCCGCCGCGAGGCCACCCCAACCCCAACTACCCTCCGAGCCTCGTCGACGAGTCCGCCGACAACATGTCCATCTTCTCGCAATTCTCTCCCGGGCTGCACGGCATGGGATCTCGCACCGGCGCCAGCTCGTCGCTGGGCCTGCAGGACTCTCCCGAGCAGCTCTACTACACAGACGGCCGACGGCCCTCGGCTGCTAGTGTCACCACGACGGCTAGCAGTACTGGCTCCAAGGCTAGCGGTCCCCGTGGCGGCTTTCGCAAGCTGCAGGGCTTCTTCGGCGAGGAGTTTCCTGGGCGCGACAGCTCCGAGAGCAGCCTCCCAAACTCTTATATGGGCAAGGACCAGCGATCGCGCTCCTACAGTCACACTCGCCCAACGCACCGCGATCGCAACTACTCCAATGCCACCGATCATACCAGGGATGCCTCGCCTGCTTCGTCACGGCCCAGGACCCCAGTTCCGGCCCCTGAAGTAGTGCCCTTTCTGTATCAGGATAACAATGTAAGTCAGCCGTGTGTTTCTGATCCATCTCTCTTCTTCTCCTCTATTTCCCCTCCCCACCTCCTTGATCTCGACCTCCATCTCTTCTTCATTCCCCCCACCCCCCTTTCACGCATCATTTTTTTTTTCTTCTTCTTCTTCCTTTTCTCTTCATGATCTTGTTTTTTTTTCTCTTCTTGTCTGTCTTATTTCTCAGCCTCTAAATGTCCCTGCCTCCCTTTTCCCAAAACGGCGTAAGCTCTCTTGTTTGCCTCACCTCCTGGTCCACTCTTTTTTCGTTATGGGGCCGCCTGCGATCCACGAATAGTGGGGGTCGAAATTGGAAATCGGTTTCGCCTGCAATCGTGACACGGAATCTAACCTGCTCGTCTCTCTTCTCTAGGACATTGCGCGATATGGAGAGGCGCCAGTCAGAGACATCATGACGGGCCCCGATCGGGAACGATACATGTCGGATGGCGCGCCCCAGGTGCCGCCCAAGTCCTCGTCCTCGTCTCGCCCCGGCATCGTCCACCTCCCCGGCCACCATCACCGCCATAACAAGAGCATCGATGATCCCAGGAGCCTGCGGCCGACCACCTCTCGGGAGGACTCCACGAGCAGCTCATATCCGCGCGACCGAGGGGGCATGGCCGGCACGCTCTTCAGCAGCTCGCGCTCCCGAGCCCAGAGCCCGACGCCGAGCGTCGGCAGCGGACATGCGCCCTACTCCAGGTCTGGCCAGGCCGAGGGACACGCTTCCCCTGGCCACCATGGCAAGCTTGGCTTCATTGGCCGTCTGCGACGGCAGCACAAGGACAAGGACGATGGCGCCGGCGGCGGCTCCAAGTTGAAGGATCTTCCTCAGTCTACCAGGTCTTTGCAGGCAAAGTCTTCCAAGACGGACTTGACGCGCCCCGAGCTGTCGCCATCTGCCTTCCCTTCCTCCTTCGTCCTCCCCTCTGGCGACGTGTCCGATGCCTCGGAAACCCGGTCCCTGACGGCGCCCCGCGCGACCTTCAAGAACACCTTTCCATTCTCCAAGAAGCAGCGACCCGCCCGGCTCAACGACGCTGACGAGACCATCGGACCGACCGACCGCGCGGAAACGGGCCACATCCACCATCTCGACACCAACTTGAACGATATGGAAGGTATTCTGGCCAAGCCACCCCCATTGACCCCCATGGACACATCCTTCGTAAATAACATCGACCCTGACCCCATCGATTCGGCAGTTTCACCGCCGAAGGGAGGAAGCTGGGATGCCCCTGACAGCTGGGCCGTCCGCCGAGGCACCGAGGACACCACGATACAGCAGCCCGAGGTGGAAGAGCTCTCGAGCCCCCCGCGGCCCGAGGAGAAGCTGACGCCCTACTTCATTCGCATCTTCCGATCGGACGGGACCTTTTCGACACATTCCATGGCTCTGGACGCCACAGTGGCCGAGGTCATATCCCAAGTGATTAAGAAGACATATGTTGTTGATGGCCTCGAAAACTACCACATCATCATGAAGAAGCACGATCTCATCCGCGTCCTGACGCCGGGCGAGCGGCCCCTGCTCATACAGAAGCGCCTCTTGCAGCAGGTCGGCTACGAGGAGAAGGACAGGATAGAGGAGCTGGGTCGGGAGGACAACGGCTACCTGTGCCGTTTCATGTTCCTGTCTGCTCGGGAGAGCGACTTCCACTCAAAGACTGCGGACCTGGGCATCAAGGCCACGCAAAAGGTTAACTACGTCGACCTCTCTGGTCGCAATCTCGTCACCATCCCCATCTCCCTCTACCTCAAGGCTAACGATATCATTTCTCTCAACCTTTCCCGTAACCTGTCTCTGGATGTGCCCAGGGACTTTATCCAATCCTGCAAGAACCTCCGAGACATCAAGTTCAATAACAATGAAGCAAGAAAACTGCCCCTCAGTCTTGGCCGCGCTGCAAGGTTGACATATCTGGACGCGTCGAACAATCGGCTGGAGCAACTGGACAATGCCGAACTCAACGCGCTGACCGGCCTGCTGAGGATGAACCTTGCCAACAACCGATTGACGCATCTGCCTCCTTACTTTGGCGCATACCAGGCGCTGAGGAGCTTGAACATCTCCTCCAACTTCCTGGAATCGTTCCCGCCCTTCTTGTGCGACCTGCATAGCCTGGTCGACTTGGATCTCAGCTTCAACTCCATCGCCGAGCTACCGGAGGAGATTGGCCAGCTCAAGAGCCTGGAGAAGCTGTTGATCACCAACAACCATCTCAGCGGAGGCGTTCCGCGCACGTTCCGCGACCTCATCAGCTTGCGCGAGCTCGACATCAAGTACAACTACATCACCAACATCGACGTCATATCGGAGCTGCCGAAGCTGGAGATCTTGTACGCCGCGCACAACCACATCTCGGCCTTTGTCGGCAAGTTTGAGCGCATTCGACAACTCAAGCTGAACTCGAATCCGCTCAACAAGTTCGAAATCACGGAGCCTATCCCGACCCTCAAGACGCTCAACCTTTCACAAGGCCAGCTGGCGAGCATCGACTCCGCATTCTCCAACATGCCCAATTTGGAGCGCCTCATCCTCGACAAGAACCATTTCGTTTCGTTGCCGCCCCAGATCGGCGCGCTGGGCCGTCTGGAGCACTTCAGCATCGCCCACAACTCCGTTGGCGAACTGCCACCCCAGATTGGCTGCCTGACGGAGCTGAGGGTCCTCGATGTCCGGGACAACAACATCTCCAAGCTGCCCATGGAGATATGGTGGGCCAACAAGCTCGAGACCTTCAACGCCTCCTCCAACATGCTGGAAGCCTTCCCCAAGGCCGCGTCAAGGGCGCCCAGGCTGCCCGGCGAAGAGCTTCAGGGGCCGCCCTCTACGAATGGCAAGTCGGCTCCATTGGGCACGCTTTCCACCTCGGGCAGCTCTGAAGAACTGGAAGAGGAGCGCCGGCCCAGCCAAGCATCTAGCACCACTCTGCTGAGCGTGGGCCCGTCGCCCAATATACCCGGAGCAGACCGAAAGAGCTCCGTCGTATCCGTCTATGGCAAGGGCGGACGTAAGACGTCTGTCATGTCAAAGAGCACCTCACAATCGCACAACACGGTCTCCACTTCGAATCAGTCTCTGAGAAAGGACTCAGGCTTGTCGTCGAGATTGACCAACACGTTTGCCGGATCGTTGCGCAATCTTTACCTGGCAGACAATCGACTCGACGATGACGTGTTTGACCAGATCACTCTTCTCGCCGAGCTCCGGGTGCTTAACCTATCGTACAACTGGGAAATCAGCGATATGCCCCAGAGATCAATGAAGAGCTGGCCGCAGCTGGTGGAGCTCTATCTATCCGGAAACGTGTTGACGAGCCTACCGGCAGATGACTTGGAAGAATCCAGTCTTCTTCAAACGCTGTACATCAATGGCAACAAATTTACGAATCTGCCAGCCGACATTTCGAGAGCGAAGAAGCTTGCGGTTCTGGACTGCGGTAATAACTCGCTAAAGTACAACATTGCCAACGTTCCATACGACTGGAACTGGAACCTGAACCCCAACCTGAGATACCTCAACCTTTCAGGCAACAAGCGACTCGAGATCAAACAGACGGCATGGGGCGGCATCGACGGCCCCGGCGCCGTGAATCGGGAGGAGTACACCGACTTCAGCCGACTGACCAACCTGAGGATCCTGGGACTGATGGACGTGACTCTAACGCAGCCCAGCATACCCGACCAAAGCGAAGACAGGCGAGTCAGAACATCTGGCTCTCTGGCAGGCCACTTGCCATATGGTATGGCCGACACTCTGGGTAAGAACGAGCACCTGTCGACCGTCGACCTCGTCGTTCCGCGCTTCAACTCTTCCGAGACGGAGATGCTCCTTGGCCTCTTTGACGGCCAGGCTTTGTCAAACAGCGGGTCCAAGATTGCCAAGTATCTCCACGAGAACTTTGGACACATCTTTGCTCAGGAGCTCAAGGCTCTGAAGACGCGCCAAAACGAAACGCCCGTCGACGCGCTCCGAAGGGCATTCTTGGCCCTCAACAAGGAACTGGTGACGGTCGCCGTCCAGTACTCGGAGGATCGGAAAAAGAAGTCGCATCGGGGTGTATCTCAGCCTGTCATTCTCAGCAGAGAGGACTTGAACTCTGGTGGAGTCGCCACCGTTTTGTACCTTCAGGGCACGGAACTATACGTGGCAAACGTCGGAGATGTGCAAGCCATGGTTATCAAGACCGATAGCAAGCACCACATCCTGACCCGAAAACACGATCCTGCAGAGCCTTCGGAACGATCGAGGATCCGCGAAGCCGGCGGGTGGGTGTCGCGCAATGGGCGACTCAACGATGTGCTGCAGGTCTCACGAGCCTTTGGATATGTCGATATGATGCCCGCTGTCATGGCCGCACCCCATGTAACCAACATGACCATCCGAGAGAACGACGACATCATTGTCATGGCCACAAGCGAGCTGTGGGAGTATCTGCCACCCGGCCTCGTCACTGATATTGCGCGAGCCGAGCGCCAGGATCTCATGCGTGCCGCCCAGAAGCTCCGCGACATCGCAATGGCATACGGCGCATCCGGGAAGATCATGGTCATGATGATCAGCGTCGTTGACCTTAAGAGGAGGGTGGAGCGCTCCCGCCTTCATCGTGGCACGAGTATGTCTCTGTACCCTTCGGGCGTGCCCGCAGAGGCCCCCTATCTCCTCTCGACGAGGAGGGGACGGAAGGGCAAGGCGGACGTCCTCGACTCCTCCCTCAACCGTCTCGAAGCCGAGATCCCCGCTCCGACTGGCAACGTCTCCATCGTCTTTACAGATATCAAGAACTCGACGACACTCTGGGAGATGTACCCAAATGCGATGCGCTCAGCTATCAAGCTGCACAACGAGGTTATGCGGCGACAACTGCGTCGGATCGGAGGATACGAAGTCAAGACGGAAGGCGACGCCTTCATGGTGTCGTTTCCCACTGCGACTTCGGCTCTCCTCTGGTGCTTTGCCGTGCAGATGGAACTTCTCGAAGTCCCTTGGCCGTCCGAGGTTCTCAACTCCATGTCGTGTCAGCCAATCCATGACAAGGAGAACGCACTCATCTTCAAGGGTCTGTCTGTTCGCATGGGCATTCATTACGGAGACTGCGTGTCCGAAACAGACCCCGTCACCCGCCGCATGGACTACTTTGGCCCCATGGTCAACAAGGCATCGCGAATTTCCGCTTGTGCTGATGGTGGCCAGATCACCGTATCTTCAGACTTTATCTCTGAAATCCAGCGCTGTCTTGAGAACTTCCAGGACACGGACCGAAATGTATCCACCGGGTCGGAAGCCTCCTTTGACGACGTGTCGCTTGCAACTGCTATCCGCAAGGATCTGAGATCTCTGACCTCTCAGGGATTCGAGGTCAAGGAGATGGGAGAAAAGAAGCTCAAGGGCCTCGAAAACCCAGAGGTTGTTTATTCGCTGTACCCGCATGCCTTGACTGGCCGCATTGAATATCACTTACAGCATGAGCGTCAAGATCTGTTGGCGGACAAGCCGACCTCAGTCATGCCCGGCGGCGAGCTTCCGTTTGATCCGGACATGATATGGTCCTTGTGGCGAGTCAGCTTGCGTCTCGAGATGCTGTGCAGCACTTTGGAGGAAGTCAGGGGCCCCGGACTTCAGCCGCCCGAAACGGAACTTTTGGAACGCATGAAGACTCGGGGTGGTGAAGTCACTGAACGCTTCTTGATCAACTTTATGGAACATCAAGTAAGCCGGATAGAGGTAAGTAATGTTGACATCTGTCTCGGTATATTTACGCTCTGGTGTTAACATGTAAATCAGACTTGTGTATCGACCCTGACGATGCGCCATCTTGCTATTGGAGGCGGGGCTCTTCGAGAGCTGAACCAGCTTCGTGCTCCCATGGCTGCGGTTTTCGACTACTTCCTCAAGCAGAAGGAAGAGCTGGAGCGCTACAAGCAAAAGTACGGCGAGCTCAGCGACGCTGAACCGAGCAACGGGGCGACTGAGAACGGTGTCGAGTACGACGACGAGCTGGAAATCGAGGAGGTGTCGGAGGATGGAAGCGACACTGAGCAGGAGAAATAAGCTGCTCAGCTGTACATTACGAACCTGCAGATGAATGCCCTTGTCTTATATTATTGGTTTTGGGTCTTAATTGGGGGCCGTTTTGCGGAAATGGGGCGGGGCAACAGAAGCGACGAGCTGGCGGAGTTGAGAAGAGGAGGTTTTGGATATCTCTCCTGTCTCACTCTATTTTGTTTTTTTCTCCTTTCTCTTCATTTCCCCATTACTCATTGCATTGTGGATCAATCATGGTCGGGAGGGATCATACATATCAGAGACTGTGCGTCGGCGCGCAAGTCTACTACGGCGAACGTTGTCTTTTCTGTTTTTTACTCTTTGTTTGTATAACTCCTTTCAGGAGAGAGGATTGGGACGAGTTCGATATGCGCGCTCGGGAAGCAGCTGTGTTCTTTTCTCATTATATTACTATACCTCTTTACATATATTGTTATGAGTCATTTGTATAATCTGGTTTTTCTTTCTGTGGGAGAGGCGGGAGAGAATTCGTCCCATTGTCTGTCTTATTGCAGGTTTGCCATGCGAGAGCAGCAGAGACTGGATTTGCCTTGAACAAAGTGCTGCAAGCGGGTCTTGAGTTTGCTCTGTTTCCGTCTACCTGGTTTGATTGATATGTGTGACTGATTGTTTGCGTTTGTGCTGTGCTTGTTGCTTGGGGGTGAAGTGACTTTATTGAGTGAGTGAGCCGCCGTGTGGTAGTTGTTGAGTCGGGGAGGTAAGCTTGTGGGAGAAGGAAGCTGGGGGAATTAGTCAAGTTGAATAAGAACAGATGGGAAAGATGGCATTTATTTGCACGAATTATCAATTCAAACGTTACTTTATCAACAAACTGGCGAACCTTTGAAACTTGCAATGTTTGGTTGAAAATCGATAATTAAGAAACGCAGAAGCTGTTCTCTGCAATAAGCTATCCTCAAGAAATCTGTACTTGTCACTTCTCATCTTGACCCCTTTACAGCATCGTCATGTCGGACTTGCTTCATAATGTGTATCCGGGGCGCCATCCGGGGGCCAATCCACCACCCTCCGGTATATTTCCTCACTGAGTTCCTCACGGCAGCAATAGTGGCTCCCCGACCGAGAATTTTACCCTGCGCTTCCTCATCCCGCGAGGGTTCTGATGTGGATGTTTGGCCAGGGCGCAGGAGTTCTATACCATCGTAGCCGTGGACCCGACCAACGGTGTCCCATCTTCCGAGGGCGAGAGACGGGTCTTCCATGAGGATGTAGTCGAACTGGGACCAGAATTCTGGCCGGAGCAGTTTCTCGTCTGATTCCGTCTTGTCAAAAATCAGAGCTGGGGGCGGCGGTGATGACGACGATGGAAGAGAAGAGCTGCGACTACGGCCAAGCGAGGAGTTGCGCAGGTTTTGGCCAAAGAGGGTGAGTCCGGTCATGCAGGTAAGGACGTCTGCGTGGACCCACAGCTGCGAAGGGGCTGATGAAGTGACGTTTGCGGTGATGGCGTAGAGCTGTGAGAGGGCGTCGCCGCCGGGGTAGTTGAGCGATGAGAGGAGTAGCATGGTTGTGCTGGATGCAAAGGCAGCGAGGACAGAGAGGACAATGGCAAGCGTGGCGAGACGGTAGAAGATGGACTTTGACCAGCGGGAAGAGATATGGTCGGCGCCCACGGCTGCGGCTGCGGTCAGGGCAGGGACGACATAGAAGATGAAGCGCGTCTCCTTGTGCGGCTGGAGGGAATATATGGCGACAAAGGCCAGAGATGGAATGACGAGGTCCTGCACTCGGCGCGACGTCCCCGGCTGGTAGAGCGCCAGCCCCATGAGCGGAAAGCACAGCGGATTGACCAGCAGCCGCGGCAGCGCAGACGTAAAGTAGTAATGCCACGGCGAGACGCCCCAGTTGGACGACGACCCCAGCACGGCGTTGTAGTAGAAGCCCGCGAGCTCGGGCCACAGCGGCCGCTGCCAAAAGTACGAGTCGACGGGCACGGAGATGGCCAGCGCGGTGGCAAAGGCCCCGAGGAAGACGACGACGAGCTCGCGCAGGCCGAGCTGCGACCGGGCGAGGAGGTGGAGGCCCGTGGCGGCGAGGAGGATGGCGAGTTCGGAGCGGAAGATTGCGGTTGCGAAGACGAGGAGGCCAATGGCTTGCCTGCGGCGGATTTGAGACTTCTTGGTGTCGTTTTTGGGGAGGAGAAAGGCGGAGGCCAGTGTTGCTGCCAAAGAAATGAGAATCAACTCACGAAACCGGCTCAGGAAGACGTGGTGGACACGAGACATAGGTCAAGCTCTCCGATATGAGGTACATGATTTATACGGAGGGAATAGGGGGGGGGTTTCAACTCACTCAGCCCAAAGGCAAACATGTTGGGCAACGTCCTGCTCAAGTAAAACATCAAATGGAACTGGCTCACGCTCAACAAAACCCACCACCTCCCCGCCGCCCTCCCAAACGCCGTCCTTACAGCTCCCGCAAAGACCGCCAAACAGACGGCGTTGAAGCAGCCCAGCACCGCCCTCACAATGAGCTGCGCATGCTCAAAGCCGCCGCCGCCGCCGCCGAGCAGCGCGACCAGCGGCTGGCTCACGCCCGCGAGGAGCACCGGCCCAATGAACGTCCGCGGCACGGCGCCGGGGAACGCAAAGTGGTCGTACGTCGAGGACAGCCGGGCATGGACGTTGCGCGTGGGCGTGCCGTAGGCGAGGATGTCGTGCGTGGCCTGCAGGTTGAAGGATTCTTCGACTTTGGTGTAGGGGGCGCAGAGGAGGTGCAGGAGGGGGACTGCGAAGAGGAGGATGTCTGCGGGTTGCGGTTAGTAAAGTAAATGGTCTACGAGGGCAGTGTTGGGATGGCAGAGTGATGGGCTGATGCTTGCCTATGGGTTCCATGTTGAGGTTATCTGGATTGATAGTCATTCATTGTCGTGTGAACCAGTGTCGTTGGAGCCGCCTTGCTAGAGCATGTAAAACGATACAGGCAGTGACCAAAGTCCTTTGGACGCGGTTCACGATATCAGTTCAGTCGCTTATAATGGAGATACAGCAGCGCATCAGGCCATTGACTGACAGATATCTTTGGTTTAACGTGGTGAGAACGGACACTTGTCTCATTCCTCTGGCAAGGGGTTGTTCAGGTGAGATGAAGTCCAGACTCCAGAGCTGCTCCTTCAGCGATTACAAGGCAAGATGTGTCGGAACGGCACAACCATCCGCCGCAACTGGACCACTGGGTGCTTGCCAGTATCAACAACATGCGCCGATAATGCCATATGGAAGATGGACTGTCACAGACAACACGAGACGATCATTGTTGCTTTTTTTATCATCAACCGCTGTCTCAGTGTCTTTTGTCTGCCAGCAATCTCAGTCCAAGTCGGTAGAAGCTAGGGTGCTAGTAGCTACTAAGCTCGGGACTTCTCCTCCATGTAGCCACTGCTGTATTATGAGGTACTCCTGCATTATTGAACAGCTAAATTATATGATACAAATTTTGAAGGAAACCATCCACAAATGCATATTCAATTAGGAGATCCCCTGTGGAAGATATTAATGGTGAAAATTTAAGAGAAGAAAGCAATAAAGGCATCGGCTCGCCGTGGTGAGCTTGATGTTACTCCCCCAACCAAATACACGATGCAAAAGCCGTTGAGCAGGTATCACCGCTGTCCTTGGTCATCTGCTCCTCAAGACAATGAGATGCTAGCCTCCTTCATGCCTGGGTGTGGAAGAGCTTGCCCCTCCAGTGAAGGCTGTAAATGCAATATATCCCATCATCAATCATACACACCAATTCGCCATACGCCGTCATCGCACACCATTCTGGTGGCGTCTGATTGTTGTCTGTCCATCTCCTTCTCTCGCTTGGCAACATCTTCTGAAAGCCAATATAACCCGAAAGGAGAACGTCCTCACTGTGATTATGAAAGAAAAGGCATGCTCTTCTTCCTGCCTAGGCCCATGCTAATGCGCCCCTTCTTCTCCTTTTCCGGAGCATCTCCGTTAACGGGACTGTCTGGCACGGGCGGCCCATTCTTGTCTCTGAAGAAGCTGAAGCTCCGCTTCGACATGGACTTGCTACCCTTCTTGGATCGGTCGAGGAATCCCGTGGATCCGCCCTCTTCCTTCTTTCTCACAGCTTCTTCTTGGGCCGCAGACTTCTTGCTGGCCTCGAGTGCTTTCTGCAGCTCCTCATGCTCGTTTCTTCGCGCCTGCATGGCCTTGGCCTGGTCTTCTCTGCGCTTCTTTTCGTCTTCCTTATACTGCTTCTCCTTGAGCTTTTCCTTCTCTTTTTCGGCTTGTCTAGCTGCCTTTTCCGCAGCTTCACGCTCCTTCTTTTCTCTCTTCAAGTCGTCTTTCGACTTGGTCTCTATCTTGGCTGTGCTCGACCTTATGAGACCCGAGCTCGATGGACCTGCAGATGGCAGCTCGCTCGCTACTGGCGTCTCGACGGCTGGTGATGTCGGCGCGTTTGCCAACCCAGGAGCAGTGGCGGCATGTGCAAGATTCGCCAGAGACTCGTGTTCCGGCATTATGACGGGCTGCGTAACTTGCCGCTTCAGGGGAGCAGTTTCTGCCTTATCCACGCTTTCGTCTTGTGCGACATTGGCGGCCTGCGTTGCGAGCTTCACTTCCTCCATGCCTTCCCTCTCTTGCTCTTCTCGGACCTTTTCAAAAGTGGTTTCCTGATAGAAGAGGACGTAGGCGGTCGCCATACCGGGCTTGTCACCAAAGAAATTGCGCACAAAGTGCTTGTCTACGGGCTCAACCATTTCGTCGTCGAACAGTACCCAGCCACGGTCGGGCGTCTTGATGATGGAGACGTAGTGGCCATGGTACGCGTTGCCGCCAATGTGGACAACGACCGCATAGAGCTCGTACATCCTGTCGGGGTCCTCTGCGTCTTCCGTAGTATTGAACATGCGCAGATGGTAGGGGTATACGACGCGGTGAAAGAGTTTCTGGAGGCGGCTGTAGTCCTCGGTGTACTTGAAACGCTTGAGATGCAGAGTCAGTACTTTGGGTAGCCGCTTCACCTTCATGCGCTTTTCGGCCTCCTGCAGGCCGCCGCAGTGGTCGCAGTGGAACTTGTTCCGCTCGCAGAGCATTTCCTCGGCCGAGAATTTTCGCAGGCACGACGTCACAGACGAGTGCTCTTCCAGGTCGATGGACAGGTCGAGGAAGGTCTCGTCTCTCTGAGATGCCGTCTCGCAGGTCAGGCACTTGGTTTCGGATGTCAACACGCCCTCGAATATGTCGTGAACCCATCCTGTCCCGGGAGTGCGGTAGCCCGTCGCGTTGTTCACCAATGCTGACCCCAAGGCATTTTCTACCGACTGCACAAGATCACTTTGGCCGTTGACTTCGAGGCGTTCCTGGATCTTCCTCGCGTTTGCCTCGACGTTGGCAATGACGTCGTTCAATACCAGGCCATAAAACTCATGAGCATCCTGGTGCATCGAGTTCCGAAACATTTCGTTGTCGCGCTTGAAGATCTCGAGGAAGCGCTGAGGGCTTAGGACGCCAGTTCTGGTGTTGCTCTGGAGGACGGCCAAGAAGATGTCCTTGAGGCCGGTAAAAGTACACTCGTCCATGCCGTAAGGCATGGCATTCTCCTGAGCCAGTTCCAGTATAGGGCCCTTGAGCATGGCCTGCTTCTTCTTATACTCGGGGGTATCCGGCTTGTCCTCGGGCTTTACGGCGGGCTGTCCCGGCGCCGGCTGCCCAGCACTCAGAGCCTGCTTCTGCTTCATCGCCTCCTTGGCACTGATGCCCTTCTTGGTCTGCTGCTGGGGAGCCACGGTGGGGTTGAGGGGTGGACGGAGAGTGACGTTGACCCTTGGTCGGCTGCCATTGGGAGAGTCTGAGGGCGAGAGCGATGGATAGTTGATGACGCTTTCTCGAAACAGGTCGGAGTAAAAAAGAGCCTGTACGATGGAGTTACAGTAGCTAGACAAATTCCAGTTAGTAAGGCTGCAGTTCTGCGCCGGTTGGGTCTACAAGATGAGGCGAACCAGGTGTTTCCAAACTACGGCTCGACGTTAGCATGGTGACAGTCACACAGGCAAGGGGGGGACCTAATCCGCAGATGGGATGGAATGATCAACATACGTTTTCGAAGCCAAAGAACTTGTCAGTCGCATCTTCCCGCAACGGGCCCGCATTCTGCAGCATCTTCTCCAGCGGGGTCAACTCGGGGACGATCTCATCCTTCTTCTTCGACACCAGTTCTTTGGAGGTCTGCGCTGTCGAGGGCTGCAGAGAGGCTTTGTCAGCGACTACAGATGTCTTGACTCGGGATATGCTAGGGTCTGATCGGAAAATGGCACTCAACGTCGGAAGTTGCCGCGGACAATGAGGAACACGACTATCTTTGGGTGGAAGGGGCCATCTTATCATACCGTGCTCGCGTTTCTAATCTTGTTGAAGAACCCGGCCATGGTGTCGGTGTATTCGCGCAACGTCGATTGTCAGGTATGGTCGGTATAACGGGCGTATAGGAGAGGGAGGGAAAAGGACAATAAGATGCAGCAGCCAGAGCCGCGCAACAGCCGCTCAACGGATTCGGAGACGGCAGGCGAAAGTATTCATTCGACGTATGCAGGCGGCGGACGAGGAGACGGGCCAAGCAAGCGCATCTATAGCCAGAGGCGGCTGATCAACGAGAGAAGCGTAAGTCGGAGGACTGCCTGGTCGGTTGTTTCAGGCGGTCGGTCTCTCTTCGAATCCTGCGTATGTCGACCGAACTGCGAGGCTGCGACGAGGCACCGAGGAGGCGCTGCTTCGGGTGTGCGAGAGATGAGCGTAGGAGAGAAGAGCGAATCCGGATCGGCGCCGACCAACGAGGGAACCGGGAAACGAGCGGAAGACAGACGAAGATGCCGCACCGAGTCGCAAGGAATAACAGAAGAGAAGAGAGAGCAAGAGACGGCAGAAGCGGCAGGCAAAGCAGAGGCGCAGGTCGAGCAGCCGGAGAGGGAGAGTTTCGGGGGGAGGGAAAAGAGCACAGAAGCGATGGATGCGTTGCGTTGCGTTGCGTTGCGTTGCGTCTGGACGCGGAACCTGGAAGACGCTGGAGCCAGGACTGGCACAGCAGCCGCAGTTTGGCTTCTGGAACCCGGCAATACAGTAGGTAGGTACCTACCTGTATGTATGGCCCTGGAATTAGGCGCAAAGCCCGCAACGGTGGAAGTCCAGGCACTGTTCCAGTCCAGCCCAGGTTGCCTCGGGGGGGCTCCCCCAGCCTGGGAGTGTGGGCCGGTGGGGTTGGGAAAAGGCCGCTTGCAGGGCCCCGGGGGCTGTCGTCGGGGTACTTTGCGCTACACCAGCGCAGCGGCGGCGCACACGGTACCACGCAGACGGCCAGCAGCACTCTCTGTTGGGCGTTACAAGGACGCACTTTGTTCGATGCGGCACAGTCGCAGCAACTCCGTACAGTACGTGGAGCAAAGGGTCAACTGGATTTCCATCAGAGAAGCCAAAACGTCTGCCAGAAGGATGCTAGCGCCGAGTTAACGCAGCGGCCAGCAGGCAAACAGGCAAGGCTTGGGACGACTAAACGGGGGCCTGGCTGTTCTGGCGCTGCGCTAGAGCGGCGACATGCTCGGAACACGCTCGCTGTGGGGGAAGCGATAAGACTCGAGCAGGACGGGAGGAGATGGAGAAGAATAGCGAGACAGCAATGGGCTACGATGAGAACTGGAAGTTTATTACATGTATCCAGCCTGGCGGGAGTTAACTTTTCGGCTCAGGTCGGTCTTTTCTGTTCATACGGCAGCTGAAGAGACGGTGACATTGC